TGCCTAACAAAAGACTGTAGCAAGGGCTGAGAGTTATGAGAAAGGAACCATGGATGAAAACCTATATATGTGTGTATATGTGCATATCTATACATACACACATACTTAATAGATTACAATATAGTATAAACATAACTTTTATATGCACTGAGAAACCAAAAAATTTGTGACTCCCTTTATTACAATATTTGCTTTATTGACTATTTACTCAGGTCTGGAACTGAACTTGCAATATCTCTTATATATACTAATATGTGAACTAGAACCAGGGGTTCATCTTTCTATCTCAGTTACTGGAATGACATAGAAGTACTGGTAAAGTCGGTCAGGCAGTGGCTCATGCCTGTAATCCCAGCACTTTGGGAGGCTGAAGCAAGTGGATCACTTGAGGTCAGGAGTTCGAGACCAGCCTTGCCAACATGGCAAAACGCCATCTCTACTAAAAAAAGAAACAAAAATTAGCCGGGCGTGGAGGAGCACACCTGTAATCTTAGCTACTCAGGAGCCTGAGGCACAACAATCGCTTCAGCCTGGGAGGTGGAAGTTGCAGTGAGCTGAGATTGCCCCACTGCACTCAAACCTGGCTGACAGAGAGAGACCTTGTCTCAAAAATAAATAAATAAACAAATAAATAAATAAAAGTATTGGTAAAGTCGAATGTATATATACATACATACATTTCTGACAGTGCTAGAATTTCTGGTAGATTATAAATGACATATACAAGGAAAAACTTGATAAATGTGAATTGAGTGTATTCCAAAAACAGATACACTATTATAAACAATGGCAAAGGAATGAAATTACACCCACAGTACATTCTCCACACGGGCCAGAGTGCAGCTTTAAAAGTATAAATCTTGGCCGGGCACGGTGGCTTACATCTGTAATCCCAGCACTTTGGGAGGCTGAGGCGGGCGGATCACCTGAGGTTGAGAGTTCAAGACTAGCCTGAACAACATGGCAAAACCCTGTCTCTACTAAAAAAATACAAAATTAGCTGGGCATGGTGGCACATGTCTGTAATCCCAGTTACTCGAGAGGCTGAGGCAGGAGAACCACTTGAACCCCGGAGGCAGAGGTTACAGTGAGCACAGATCGCGCCATTGAACTCCACCCTGGGCAACAAGAGTGAAACTCCATCTCAAAAAACAAACAAAAAAACCAAAACCAAAAAAACCCCCCATAAATTTAAATAAATAAATTAATTAATTTTTAAAAAGTATAAATCTGGAGCCGGGCACGGTGGCTCATGCCTGTAATCCCAGCACTTTGGGAGACCAAGACGGGCGGATCACGGAAAGTCAGGAATTTGAGACCAGCCTGGCCAACATAGTGAAACCCTCCCTCTACTAAAAATAACAAAAATTAGCTGGGTGTGGTGGCAGGCACCTGTAATCCCAGCTACTTGGGAGGCTGAGGCAGGAGAATCACTTGAACCTGGTATACAGAGGTTGCAGTGAGCTGAGGTCATGCCAATGCACTCCAGCCTGGGCGACAGTGAGACTCCGTTTAAAAAAAAAAAACGAAAAAAAGGAAATGAGGGAGGCCAGGTGTGATGGCTCATGTCTGTAATCGTAGCACCTTAGGAGGTTGAGGCGGGAGGATCACTTTGAGGCCAGGAGTTTGAGACCAGTCTGGTCAACATAGCAGAACCCCGTCTCTACTAAAAATATAAAAATTAGCTGGGCGTGGTGGTGGGCGCCTGTAATCCCAGCTACTCGGGAGGCTGAGGCACGAGACTCGCTTGAACACGGAAGGCAGAGGTTGCAGTGCACGGAGATTGCACCACTGCACTTCAGCCTGGGTAAAAGAGTGAAACTCTGTCCACAAAAAAAAAAAAAAAAAAAAAAAAAAGAAGGAAGGAGAGAGAGAGAAAAAAAAAAAAAAGAAGAGAATCAGATACATTTACACAGATGCAAAAGCACCTAATCCACTGAAAAGCCCTCTCTGTAAGCTGTCATTATTATGAAGCCAGGAGAATGCCAAGAGCTGGGAGGTACCAAAAGTTTCAGGAGTGCCTTATGAAAAAGAGAGGGCAAAAATTGTTATGAGTCCAGCTGCCAGGCTTGTGCGAGTGCCAATGTGTGTGTCTGGGGAAAAGGTGATAAGGAAATGACTCACGTGACTCAGACGACAAGCAAAGGTATGTCCTGTGAAGGGTGAGCTATTTAGACTAACCTCAATTACTGACCAAGACCCTATTTGACCTGACCCATTTCCTACTTCATTCACACACCAGTCTTTGTTCTGTTCCTTGAAGTCCGGCCACACACTGCCTCTTCTGTTACCTGAACACCTCTATATTATTCCCATCTCAGGACCTTCTGCGTCTGCCTGGCTCCTTATAACTCCGGTTTCTGTTCAAATGTTGCTTCTTCGGAGACGATTTCTCTGGACTACTCCATCTAAATAAAATAGCGTAACTCCTCCCCTCGAGTTCCCCCGATTTCTTCATTGCACCTTTCACTCTCTTAAAGTTATCTCATTTACGTGTTTACTTGTTTAAGGCTTGCCTCCCCCACTCCGAGGTACACTCTGTAAACCAGGGACACTTTTGACCTTGTTCCTGGATGTAATCTCAACGTCAGTCCCACAGAAACGATATACATATCTGCTGTTGTCTGTAAATATAAAACCTGAAGTCGGGAGATCCCTAGACAGTGGGAGGGATCAAGGGCCGGGAGTGTGCCTTGTGGACGAATGAGGAAGTGGGAAGGTCGTCTTGAGTAGATCGGGGAACCCTGGGAAGGAAAAGTAGAAGTCCGAGCTCTCGGGAGGACCGAGGGGCGCGAGGCGTGGGTGTCTCACCTGCCGAATGGCCGCCAGCGTGTTCTCGGGCGCGTCGTGGCTGCCGCCGCGGTGGGCGATGGCAGAAATGCGGTCCCGGGGCTTGAGCACCTGCAGGACCCTGCAAGAGGGCACCGGCTCAAAGCTGAAGACGCGCAGCAGAACGAAGAGGCTGCCGGTGAGGAGGCAGGCATTGACCGGGCTTCGCGTCACCAGCAGCAGCACCAGCAGCAGGAAGGAGAAAGGGCCCAAGAGGCCGCCCTGGTCCTCCCACAGCCACATGCCGGCGCCCGCACCGGCACGGACTGGAGTCCCGGACCCGCCGGGCTCCCGGGGCAGGAGAGCGAGAAGCGAGGGGGAGGGTCCAAGGCACCGGCAGCAGCGGGCACCCTCTGAGGGGACCAGCGCCGCACAATGGCGGCAGCGGACACATCCAGAGAGGCAGTCGGCTGCCTAGCCAATCAGGGATCGGGATTCGCAGCGCTAGTAGGCGGAGCCGCTCCCTGGCAACGGGGGCGGGCCCAGGCCCCAGCCCCAGGCCCCAGACCCTAGACCCTAGGCTCACATTCCAAACCCAAAGTGGCTTAGGGTTTTCTGGGGTCTGAATTTCAACCTGGGCTTTCAGACTCCTAGGCGAGAAAAGGAGGGCTAAGAACCGTCCTAAAGCTGTAGGACTGGGAGGGATTTTAGTGACTCCTTTATCTGCCCTGGAGGAAACTGAAGTCCAGGGAACTTGGAGAGGCAGGATGCTTAGACTATCAGTTCAATTCAATTCAATTCCGTTCAGTTCAGTTCAGTTCAGTTCAGTTCAAGATGTACCAAATACCGGTCCAGGTGCTCCGGACACAGTTGAACAGGACCTACAGGGTTTTTGCTCTTACGGGACTCACATTCTCGTGGGTGGAAATAAAAGTGTTAGCAAGTACACCTAACGTTTACAGAGCACTTACCATGTCCTAGATACTTGGTGAGCAAACACTTTATATGCTTATCTCATTCTCAATACAGCCTAACAGTTATTATCTCAGGAGACTGATTTCAATCGACTTAATTTTCCTGATTCTGGGGGACTGGAAGAGCCTAGCAAAGAAGGCACAATCGGATTATAAAACTGGAAGGGGTTTTAAGGATTCCCTTATTTCATAGATGAGGAAACTGAGGATAGGTGAATTAAGCAGTTAATGGCAGGATGGGGACTGACATAAAGGCCTCCCTAGTGACTTGTGACATTTTCACTCCTCCTCCCCCTAATCTTACTTCTGCTAAGGGCTTTTGTACCAGGGGCTGTGCAAGAGTTACCTCAACTGTGCCTCACAACTACCCTTGTGATAGGCACCTTTAAACCACCATTTAACATATGCAAAAACAGGCACTGGAAGGAGGATAAGAGAGATAGACTGTAAAGCCGAGTTAGGCAATGAAAAGGGACCCCTGGACATATTTTGGAAGGCTGGTAACATTTTTATGTAGAGAACTTTCCAAAAAGATTCAGGGATTTTTCCGTTACCTTTTTTCCTTTAGTGCATTTTCCCACTGATTTGCAAAAGGGGATAAATGTCTTAAGCCTTCCAGTTGGCAACTAGGATTCAGCCTTTTTTATTTTTTATTTTTCCAGACAGTCTCACTCTATCGCCCAGGTTGGAATGCAGTGGTACAATCCCGGCTCACTGAAGCTTCGACCTCCTGGGCTCAAGCCATCTTCCGACCTCAGCCTCCCAAGTAGCTGGGACCACAGGCTAGCGCCACCCCACCCGGCTAATTTTTAAAATTTTTGTAGAGATGCCGCCGTCTCCCTTTGCTGCCCAGGCTGATCTCGAACTCCTGGGCTCAAGCGATCCTCCCGCCTCGGCTTCCAAAATGTTGGAATTATAGGCGTAAGCCATCACCCCGGGTGGGTTCAGCGTTTTTATCTACAAGAAAATATTTTGGTGAATGTTACATGTTTTATAACGGCTACATAGAAAGGGGTTATCTTTATACACATAAGAAAAAAATGGCAACCTCAAGGAACACTTCAGGGGGCTTCAGACCCTGAGGGGTGGTCCTATTATACTAAATAAGTACATTTATTAATACAGTCTAGTCTGTAGCTTGCATTGAAGACTACGTTTCCCGGCGTGCAGCGTGCTGTCCGTAAGCATTACGTCCTCCATCGCGGGCGCGCAATGCACCTCGGGGATTGTAGTGTTCTGGTGGCCCAACGGTTTTAACAGCCCTGGAAGCAACCACCGGAAGTGCCGGCCCTGAGAGGTGGAGTCGGGGTGGCCGCGGCGGCGGTTGCCAGGAGCCCGCGTTGCCGCTTGAGATCTGTAATATGGCGGGGAGGAGGAGGAGAAGGCGGCGGCGGACCGAGCTGCGCTCTGTCAGTACCATTTGAGCCATTCGCTTCCTGACAAGGCCCGTGGCGAGGGGAGAGGACCTGAAGGGGCCGTGGGGGATCAGGTGTGTGCATGAGGAGGGGGCTCGAGCCTCGGCGGGTCCGGGCTGAGAAGTGGTCTGGCGAGGCGAAATTGGCGCCCTGAGGAGTTGAGGGCGGGCTCTGTTGGGCTCCCGGGCCTCGAGCCCCGCCTGGAAAGGCGCCGGCTGTAGGGAGGCGGGACCCCGGGGGCAGCCAGCACCGGGCGCTGAGGTGATGCTCCGATGCCGGCCCCGCCTGGAGGGCCCTCGGTTTGGAACCTTAAATCGGAGGAGCTGGAGGAGGTGGGCATGGGGCGCTGGGGAGAGGGCAGGGGCTTTTTCCTGGGAAATAAAACTAGGGCCAGAGCCGGAGAACACCATCGTGGTGATCAAATTTTGGGGGCCGTTTTTCTTCTCCCTCCCACGGTGCTGGAGAGAGAGGCTTCCCCGGGGTGTGCATTGGCCGTTTATGAGCCCCGGTTACCACAACCAAGGCCCTAGGAACGCTGCTTACTTCGCCTTTGCCACTCTGGGCATACGCTTGAGGATAATAAAGTAACTGATTGCCCCTGGAGCTGCTAGATGATTCCCACCCTTTGATTCTATTCTGGTTACGATCCAAGCTCCCTACCCCCAGTTTAGGCAAATGGCAGCCATCTCGAGATTGATTTGACGGGGAGAGGTCTAGAGACAGGGAAATGAGGAAGCCGTTGTCCCCTTTTCTATATTTTTCAATTTCATTTGAATCCTACGGGGAACCAAGCACTGTCGCTGCCCTCCAGGAATTCATACCCTACTGCTAAAAATCGTCATCATCATTATCCTCTTAATAAGAAAAGCAGTCCCCATTATTTGTCGCTTTCTGCGTGTTCTGCACTATGCTAATTGCCCTACATGCATTAGCTCATTGAATTCTTACAAGATTCCTTTGAGACGGATACCCTGATCATCCCTCTTTTACAGAGGAGGAAACAGGTGTGGAGATGGTAACTGGCTTGCCAAGAACTTGCAGCTAGTATGCATCTGAATAAGAAATCTTCCCCTTTACCGCTTCTACGCAAAGAAGTTTGCGTCTTTGGGGGAACTGATGGGCAAAGAAACGCTAGGTTCTGCAAAAAAAAAAAAAAAAAAAAAAAAAAGCAGGATCTGTTCTGTGTTACTTTTACCACTCCTTTCAGTGACATGTCTGGCAGAGCACAGGTAAGGAGCAGATAGGACCATGAGTCTATGGGGTTTGCAAAGAGGCTCATTTGGACAAGGGTCAGTGGTTCTCTATGGTATAAATGGAGAAGACAGGGCGTATCTGAACCTGCTGTAGCTGACAAATTATTACTGGAAGTGGACCAGTGATGTCTGATGGCAAGGTATAGGGTAATAGATTTGTGGTTGGGGTAGCCTCGTAGTCAAGGCTCCCTTAAAATAAAACCTTGCTGACAGTGGTAATTGTAGTGTGAAAGGCATAGTGTCCTCTTGCTTAATCATGGGATATGGACTGCTCACTTCTTAAATGGTTACCTTTGCAGTTTAAGAGGTACGAGTTTCTCTGGGAATAGAGCCATGGTGAAATTTCCATTCTCTAAATTCCATTCTTCCTTGCTAGCTTTGGTGTATAGTCTGCCTTCTTTTTTTCTTCTGGTTTACATTATTGTTTGAGCTTATTATTATTCTTATTCGTTTATTCAATACTTTTATCAAGTGCCTGCTGTGTGCTGATACTGTTCTGTATAATGGGGATTCAGTGAACAAGACTGAAAAGGTACCTGTACTTATGGCGCTTACATTTTGGTGGAGGAAGACAGACAAAAATCAAGGAAATAAACACGATAATTTCAGATAGTGGTAAGTGCTATGAAAATTGGGAAACAGCAGGGTAATGTGATAGTGTGATCGAGGCAGAGTTAATTTAGATGGGGTCATCAGGGACGCCTTCTCTGAGGAGGGGATATCCAAGCTGAGACTAAAGGATAAGAAGGATCCAGTCATGCTCTAAGGATCGTCTAGTAATTTGTATAATCTCCATATTAGCACTCGTATTTGAATGAGTAATGTATTGTCATATGCTGTGTTGTGCTGTAATAATAATATAGTACTATATACATCTGCAAGATGTAGGACATACATGTACTATTTAAGGGATGTGATTAACTTTCTGAAACAATGAGGCATATCTCTATGATGTTGAAAGAAAAATAAAACTATGGCCATAAAAGTATTAGATTTCCTTAATACCTTCCCTCACTTCTAAATTTGAATTTAATGCTTTGCTTGAGTATCCATAGAAGATATATTACTTTATTTGTATAATCTATTTACATTCTGTGTATTGCTGAATGCATGGCATGTATTAAAAAAATAAAATATTTGAGCAGAAATGGGGTTGTTAAGAAATAATGTGAGTTGAAACCTAGACTAAAAAAAGGCTATGCCTTAAGGCGTTGTATTGTTTTAACTTTTGCTTTTTTAAAATAAATAAAAGCTTGTAAAATAGTCTCACTCACACTGTAGAGAACCATTTGTTCGTCATTAGATTCCTACTTTGCATAGATTGAACACAAATAATTACAACTGAATAGTAGGAAGAAATTTTGTTCTTAAACTATGATTAAACTATTTAGTCAAAAATAGCATTATATCTTATTTTTAAATAACCTGATTGTAATTTTGACTATTTTTTTTCCCATTTCTCATTGCACTGTAATTTGTCCCTGATACTTTGGTGTACTGAATTTTTAAGTACTTTGAGGCCTACCAAGGACATATCCTATTTCATCTTTGCATATCCCACATCATGAATTGAATTTCCCTGCCCTCTCTTTTTTTTGTTAAGAAACCAATTCTTTTAAAATGAAGACATAAAGGAACATTATTGTATTATTCATACCCTTGCTGGTTATGATTCTGATAATGTCTTTTTATTTTCCCTTATTTATTTAAAGGAAACAGTGCCACACATAATGCTGTGCAAATAAGCAATCAATATTTAATGTTTGCTAAATGAATGAATATGATGCCTAATCCCTGCTGGTTACCTTGTATTTTCATAATCACAATTTCCCAGAAACTGTGAAATTACTGGGATTGTTTTAAGTAGTTTGGTGATGGTTCCAATTTTCAACAATAAAATATAATTAATATCAGAGCCAATCGATTTTCTGTTTTTTACCTCTGACTGAGTTGACTGGTGCCCATGGAGTCCAAGTATAGTGTTAAGATAGGCAAATTGAGGCAGGAGGATTGCTTGAGTCTGGGAGTTTGAGACTATAGTGCACTGTGATCGAACCTGTGAATAGTCACTGGAATCCAATTTGGGCAACATAGTGAGACCCTATCTCTTAAAAAAAAAAAAAAAAGTAACCTTTGAACTTCAAAGTAGAAAATTTTTAAAAGTAAATATTCTTTGATTTAAGTAGGCTTTTTTACTACAGTGTTTCTACCTTTGTATGATATAGTTTTTCTTGTGTAGATAAGTTCTGTTAAAGAAAATATAATATCCTATTTTACAATCTGAAGTTAGTAAAGGTGTACAGAACTTAGTTTTCTTTAAGAAGGTTATGAATTCTTAGCTAAATTAATCCCATTTAAAGATTGATTTACATGCAATAATATTCAGAAATATTTAATATATCAAGGACATCTTAATTGGACAGGTTCTTGAGGTGAATTACCATACACAAGAATTAGCTCCTGATTAGTAAAACAATTCTTTTTTTTTTTTTTTTTTTTGAGGAGTCCTTGTGAAGACAATTCCTGGGGAGGGCACCCCAGTTATACGGGAATTTGTTTTTGTGAATTAGTGTAGCAGGACTCTCCTCATGATGCTCTGGCAAAATTCTGGCCCAATAATAAGGAATCTGTTTTCTTCCCAGTACATTAAAAATAACATTTTTCTCTCTTGTAGTGTGACTGTGGGAAGATGGAGGAGTATGAGAAGTTCTGTGAAAAAAGTCTTGCCAGAATACAAGAAGCATCACTATCCACAGAGAGCTTTCTCCCTACTCAGTCTGAAAGTATCTCACTTATTCGCTTTCATGGAGTGGCTATCCTTTCTCCACTGGTAAACTTGCTTTGTTTTTAAATAGTTTTTTTCTGTAGTGAACAACTAAAACAGTTCATGGAAAAACAAAAGAAAGGCTTATAAACATTCGAAGAGATGCCCTTATTTAGAATTAGAGAAATGCAAATGAATTAGCATTTTTTACTTACTATTATAGATTGACAAAGAGCTAATAGAACCTTGTGTTCCTTAGACTGTGGAGAAAATGCACTTTTAATGCACTTTTGCTAAGAGAATCAGTTTATTTTATTTCTAGATGAGAGTTTGGTAGAATTTAAAAGCATACATAGCCTTTGAGTCAGCAGTTCCATTTTTGGGTGTATCCTACAATTATACGTGAGCCTAAAGAAGTAAGTACAGAGTTACATTAGCATTGTTTAAAATAGCAAAGGTTGATGAACAACCTAAATGTCCATCAGTAGTGGAGTAGTTTAACTGTGGTCCATTTTATAAAATCTCTTACTTACCATTACAGTAAGGCAGATGTAAATGTTGAGGCATGGAAGGATCTTGATGATCTAGTGTAAAACACTGTGTGCAGCATGCTGTCAGGGGCAGTATAGAGTCACGATTAGAGGTCCAGGCTGTGGACCAGGCACGGTGGCTCACATCTATAGTCCCAGTTATTTGAGAGGCTGGAAGGGAAAGGATTGCTTGTGACCAGGAATTCAAGACTAGCCTGGTTAACATAGTGAAACCTCATCTCTACAAAAACATTTTAAAAAATTAGGCAGGCGCGGTGACATGTGCCTGTAGTCCCAGCTACTCGAAGGCTAAGGTGGAAGGATTCCTTGAACCTAGGAGTTCCAGGCTACAGGGAGCCAGGATTGCATTGTTGCCTGGGCTACAGAGCAAGACCCTGTCCCAAGAGAAGGAAAAAATCTCCAGCCTGGGCTACAGAGCAAGACCCTGTCCCAAAAGAAGGAAAAAAAGAAAAACAAAAGCCTAGGCTCTGGAGCCTTCTGGCCTGGTCCAAATCATTGCTTTGCTACTTATTTGCTGTGTAAACTTGTGGCCCATTTTCTTATTTGTTAAATGGGGATAAAATAGTGCCTATCTCATAAGGCTATTTTGAAGATTAAATGAATGCGTAGTTATAAAATGGTTAGAATACCACCTGGATCATAAGAGGTACCCAATATAAGTTAACCATTTGGGTTTTTTAAAGGATGGCTATTCCTTTTCTGGGGAGTGGTGAGAGAATATGGGATAATAGGGAAGACACTTCATCATATACCGTTTGATACTAATTGGATATTTTAAAATGTATATGACTTTATTTTAAATCACAAACTAATATTAGAAAAAAGTGAGCTTTAAATTTATGTTTTGGTATAACAGGAGTTAAGAGATTAATTTTAATTAATTTAATTGAATTTTTTTTTTTTTTTTTTTTTTTTTTTTTTTGAGACGGAGTCTTGCTCTGTCACCCAGGCTGGAGTGCAGTGGCCGGATCTCAGCTCACTGCAAGCTCCGCCTCCCGGGTTCACGCCATTCTCCTGCCTCAGCCTCCCAAGTAGCTGGGACTACAGGCGCCCGCCACCTCGCCCAGCTAGTTTTTTGCATTTTTTAGTAGAGACGGGGTTTCACCGTGTTAGCCAGGACGGTCTCGATCTCCTGACCTCGTGATCCGCCCGTCTCGGCCTCCCAAAGTGCTGGGATTACAGGCTTGAGCCACCGCGCCCGGCCAATTTAATTGAATTTTTAAAGACACCAGAGCTAACTGCCAACTTTTTGTAATGAAACTTTCAAATATACAGCAAAATTGAAAGGATAGTGCAGTGACCTACCGTAGATTTACCATTAGATTAAACAATATTTAACATTTTTGTCATCTTTGCTTTATTGTGTTTGTGATTTTTATATACATGTATGTGTGTGTGTACATACATACATTTAAAAAAATTGCCTAGCTATTTGAAAACCACAAAGACCTAACACTGCTTCCCTAAATATTTTGGTATACATCTCTTAAAAATAAGGACATTCTCATATATAAAGCCCCAATACCATTATCACATCTTAAGAAAATTAATAATTTTTAATAATGTCTAATAATTCTGTTCATATTTAAATTTTTCCATTTGTGCTCAAAATGCCTTTTATAACTTTATTCCCCCAATCTGGATCCAAAGTTCATAATTAGTATTTGCTTGTTATGTTTCTTTATTTTAATCTAGAACAGTTCCTCTACGTCTTAAAAACAATTTTTTTTATTGGTTGGGCATGGTGCCTCACGCCTGTAATCTCAGCAGTTTGGGAGGCTGAGGTGGGTGTATTGCATTGCTTAATCCCCAGAGTTTGAGACCAGCCAGGGCAACAGGGTGAAATCTCATACCTACACAAAATACAAAAATCAGCCGGGTGTAGTGGCGTGCACCAGTAGTCTCAGCTGCTCTAGAGGCTGAGGTGGGAGGACCACTTGAGCCCAGGAGACTGAGGCTGCAGTGAGCCCTGATCATGCCACTGCACTGCAACCTGGGTGACAGAGTGAGATACCATCTTTTAAAAAAACCAAAACTGTGATACTGAATTTTTAAAGAGACCAGAGCTATTGTCTTGTAGAATTCCTTAGATCTTGGATTTGTCTCATCATTTCCTAATAGTGATATTTAACTTGTTTCTCTAGTCCCTGTAGTTCCTATGAACTGGAAGTGAAGTTTGATAAACAGGTTAAAAGATTTTTGGAATTCTTTGAAGATGGGGCTGGACGGGGTGGCTCATGAGTATAATCCCAGCACATTGGGAGGCTGAGACCAGCCTGACCAACATGGCGAAACCCCTTGTCTACTAAAAATATAAAAATTAGCTGGGCATGACGGCGGTTGCCTGTAATCCCAGCTGTGCGGGAGGCTGAGGCAGGAGAATTGCTTGAACCCAGGAGGGATCAGGATTGCACCACTGTACTCTAACCTGAGACTCCATCTCAAAAACAAAAAAATAAATAATAAGGAATTCTTTGGAGATGATGCCCTACACTTCATACTAAATTAAATCAGAAGTTACATAATGTTTAGTTGCCCTCTATTAGTGATGTTTAGTTTGAACACTTGCTTACAGTAGTGACTGCCAGATGGCTCTTTAAAGTACGCATTTTCTCCTCTTGATTAGCAAGTAAATTGTATAATGATTCTTTGGTACCATGCATTAGGAAAAAGTTTTAAAACAACATATTTGCCAGCTATTTGATAACATATTGCTTGATTTAATGTGGACCAAAATGTCTGAGGCTTGTTGTATGGGGTCTATGACTCCATCTGTTAGTTATTTGTAAGCAAAATCTGATGTTTATGGACCTAATCCACATTTTTATGTTGTATTTGATAGGTGAATATTGCAACTTTTGAAATAATTTTTTAATGATATATTTTCTATTTGTGTAAGTCTACAATAAGTCTTGACTGTTAACAGTGACTTAATTTCCTAGGACTTAATAATTAAGATTGAAATCCATTATAAAGAGATACAATGCTTAGAAGCCTTCCATTTTTTAGGTACATTATATTTTTATCGGAAGGTAGAGTGAGGTGAAAGAAAAGACGTGTTCTGATTTTGTAGGCAAATAATACATTATCTGTTTCTTTTATCATTAAACCTTTGGACATTTTTTGAGGCAGCAAAGAGTTAAATTGTGCACTGGTTAGAAAATTAAAAGTTGTAGAATCCAATTGACCCAGTAAAATAAGATACTGAACGTGGGCCAGGCACGGTGGCTCACACCTGTAATCCCAGCACTTTGGGAGGCCGAGGTGGGCGAATCACAAAGTCAGGAGTTCGAGACGAGCCTGACCAACATGGTGAAACCCCATCTCTACTAAAAATACAAAAATTAGCTGGGTGTGGTGGTGCATGCCTGTAATCCCAGCTCTTCAGGAGGCTGAGGCAGGAGAATTGCTTGAACCCAGGAGGCAGAGGTTGCAGTGAGCCGAGATCGCACCACTACACTCCAGCCTGGGTGACAGAGCAAGACTCAGTCTCAAAAAAAAAAAAAAAAAAGGATACTGAATGTGAAGTAATATTCAAGTCAGTATTCAAGTGAAGTAATAAAAAACTCAGCAGTGGCCAAAAGGGCTTTAATTTTATTTCTGTCATTTTAGAACATTTGATTAGTGAACAAACTTTTTTTCTTTTTAACTTTTTAATTGAAAATAATTTACACATAGCAAAATACACAGATCTGAAGTGTTAAAGTTCCATGAGTTTTGATATATGGCATACACATGTATAACTCACACCCACACAGGATATTTTCTTCACCATGGAAAGATCTCTAATGCCCCATCCCACTCAGTACCCAGACCACTGTTCTGATTTCTTTCACTGTAGATTAGTTTTGCCTGTTGCACATGTTTTTCATCTTTGTGATTCAGAACTTCCCAATTTTATGATATTTTTATCATGGGAAATAATTACATTTTTATGATGTTTTGCAGCTTAACGTTGAGAAAAGAAGGGAAATGCAACAAGAAAAGCAGAAAGCACTTGATGTAGAAGCAAGAAAGCAGGTTAACAGGAAGAAAACTTTACTGACTCGTGTCCAGGAGATTCTTGACAATGTTCAGGTGTGTGATTTATGCAGTTTCAGTTATAATACAGAAATAATAAGATAAGCATTGATGATAATTTTTCTGAAATATATTTGCACTTAACTAATTACTAATGTACTTTACTGTTACGTTTGAGAAGCTTCATAATTTGTGATTTTCCATTTCAGTTACTCCAAAGAGAATGCACTTGCTTGTTAGTGTTGCCCAGTACTTGAATCAGAGGATATTTGCACAATGGAACCATACACTGAATATAATTGCTTATTGTTTGCATTTTGTGACTCTAAAAACATTGAATTCTCAGTGACAAAATGATAGAATTGGGCATTATTGGCCAAACTAATTAGACTATTGACTAAATTACCTTATTCTCATTCTTTGCTTAAGTAAATAACTGCCCCCAATTTTTTTTTGGTGAAAATTCTGCTCTTAGATACACAAAATGCAGTTTAGATACGTTGAATTGTTTAGATGCATCCTGTCTAAAAACTATTTAAACAACACATCTACACCTTGTGCAGTTATTTTTAGATTTGTATAAACAATTTGTTCTGACATGTGGATCATTTTGTACTAAAAAGAAAAACAAATGAATTAGATCGAACGAATAATTTCTACAACATGTAGGAGTGTTCTGCTGTGTAACATCTTTTTGTTTTTTCATAATCTTAAGAGTTTGTGGTTTGTCTGTATAATTCGTATTAGATGACACATGTATAATGAACCTTAAGGGCTCATTTCTCTGTTGGTAGTGTAAACCAAAGAAAATGACTGAAGCGAGTCTCAATCGATTTAGAGGTTTGTTTTGCCAAGGTTGAGGATGTGCCAAGGAAAAAGAGACAAAAGTTGCAGTAGGATCTGTGGCTTGTGCTTTTCCAAAAGAGGTTTTGAGGACTTCAGTATTTAAAGGGGAAAGAACAGCAGGAGGGGAAAGAGGAAAGAAAAAAAATGTAGGGTAGGTAGTGAGATAAGTGGTCACATTTTTGTGAGGTTTTGATTAGCACTCACTGAATCCACATGTCACATGTGAAAGGTGGGGGTAGAGGAACAGTCAGCTATGCATTCATCTCAAGCTCAATAAATCTGCATTTTACATAGGATAAAGTAAACAGAGTAGAGGAGAAGTCAAATATACATTTGTCTCCAAAGGGATGATTTCTAGTCATCTTTGGTCTTTGTCAGTATCTTGTCAGAGTGAGATTCAGCAAAACTCTGGGTTGGTGTAAAGATTTTGGGGCCTACAAGGAATTTCCTTGTGAGCAATTTGCAAGAGAGGCTACCTGGGTAGATAGGTGGCCTTCTATTTTGCAGCTATCTGTTTAGGAATAAAAGGAAAGCAGTTTTTGTGTGACTCAGTTCCTAAGCTTTACTTTTTCCTTTGACATGTGATTTTCCATTTCAGTTACTTGAAATCCCTATGTAATGAGTCTTTAGAATCTGATGAAAAAGTCAAAGGAATATATAGAAAGAGAACAATCTAGACACAGAGAGTTATAGTGACTCTCATTTGACATAGTTGAGTTTGGGGTCCTGAGATTTTATTTCCCTTTCACAGTAGTATATAGTGTGTGGGTAGTAGATTTCATTACTGTCCGTATTAAGTTTAAAAAATGGATTGAGTAGTGCTAATTTAACTATAAGAGGTGAGTTTTTTACTTACTAGATATTTCCTGTGATTGATACGAAAATGGCGTATCATTTTTGGTCCATTGAGGGAAGATAAAATATACTACTAATAAAATTGTTAAAAGAGCATATATAATGTTGAACTGTAATGAATTAATTACTCAGATAGGAAAATTTTATATAAAACAATTAGATTTCTGCTTCACCTGTAAAACCTAAGATTCTATGATAGAGTTTTTTCTTGTTGTTATTTAGCTTGTCTAACTAAAGGCTCATTTTAGTGACGTATAAACAACATAGCTTCCGAATATCACAAATGTGAAATATTTTATATAAGGAAATCATCTGTTTTACTTAAACCTGTGAACATGTTCATGGATTTCGTAAATATGCATCCTTTTTGTTTTATTTTGGTCCTGAGGCTGTGACTAAGTATGTCTTGTACTGTTGATTGCATAGTACCTGGAAACCTTTTTGCATCTTTTTTGTTTTATTTTGGTCCTGAGGTTGTGACTAAGTATGTCTTGTTGTACTGTGTATTGCATAGTACCTGGAAACCATTACCTGTCTTGGGATTTGTAAGGTAAAATAGGAGAGCCATGTGGTCTAGAAAAAAATAAGCACATACAAAACAACCAAAAAATATTGTAATATTCAGGCTTTTTTTGTTGTTGTTGAGACGGAGTCTCACTCTGTTGCCCAGGTTGGTGTGCAGTGACGCGATCTCGGCTCACTGCAAGCTCCGCTTCCTGGGTTCATGCCATTCTCCTGCTTCAGCCTCCCGAGTAGCTGGGACTACAGGCACCCACCACCAAGCCCAGCTAATTTTTTATATTTTTAGTAGAGATGGGGTTTCACCATGTTAGCCAGGATGATCTCGATCTCCTGACTTCATGATCCGCCCGCCTTGGCCTCCCAAAGTGCTGGGATTACACACGTGAGCCACCGCACCGGGCCAATATTCAGGCTTTTGATGTCTATATTCATATGATAATACTATGATTTTTGCCAGTTTAATATACGGATGTATAATTACCTTTAGAAGCCATCATAGTTCTCTTTTTATTCTTTTGCAAAGTTGGATCATTTAGATACAAAATATCTATTTTTATATTTATTTATTTATTTATTGAGACAGAGTCTCACTCTGTCACCCAGGATGGAGTGCAGTGGTGTGATCTCAGCTCACTGCAATCTCCGCCACCTGGGTTCAAGTGATTCTCCTGCCTCAGCCTCCTGAGTAGTTGGGATTACCAGTGCCTGCCACCATGCCTGGCCAATTTTTGTATTTTTTGTAGAGATGGAGTTTTGCCATGTTGGCCAGGCTGGTCTCGAACTCCTAGACTCAAGCAATTCACCTGCCTTGGCCTCCCAAACTGCTGAGATTACAGGCATGAGCCACCTCTCCCAGCTTTACATATATTTTATGTTTCTTTTTCTCATATATGTAGTTCTCATCTTTATCATCTACCAAATGTTTACCTATTTTGGCTGTTCCGAAATTCATTAACAACTTGCTGTTTTAACTAAGCATCAATGAATCAAATTGGATTTTGTTTTAATGAATTGAGTTTTAAGTTCAAATATTTCTTATTTCTAAATAATTTAAGCTTCATGGCTGGGCTATTGTTTACTACAAATTTCCCTCATTTTATGGAGGGATTTTAGTTAAATTTTGGAGTAAGCATGTGGGTGCAGGAGTCTTATTACTGAATCAGTTTTGCTTAATCAGTGTCCTGGACAAGTTAGTTTTTGTTAGAGAGGGAATCATTTATGTAAGACATTTCATTACTTGCTGTTTATTGCATATATTATTATCCTTGGATGATACCTATCCTACAAGGAACAGTTGGTAATGTTAATAACATGAATAGAAGAAATTTAAGGAAAGTGCTTCTATTCTAAGATTAAATTGCACATGGATATATGAATATATCTGTGTGTGTATACACATATATATGTTCATATTTGTATCAGATTAGATAAGTTTCTTTTCATAAGTCTTTCAATAACTTAGGCAGGATGACCAGTGGGTGTTTTTTCAATAATAATTTGAGCCCCCTGTGATACAGGATACCATAGAAACCTGTCATCTTAGTTTTTCTTTATGTTTTGAAATGTCAGAATTCTGAATCTTCAATTTCATTTTAGAAAACAGTGAAATCAGAGACTTTGTGCAATGAGGAAATATTAATTTTTAAATTTCCTGTTTCAGGTTAGAAAAGCACCTAATGCCAGTGATTTTGATCAGTGGGAGATGGAAACGGTTTACTCTAATTCAGAAGTCAGAAACTTGAATGTTCCTGCTACATTTCCAAATAGCTTTCCAAGCCATACCGAACACTCTACTGCAGCAAAGCTTGATAAGATAGCTGGGATTTTGCCACTGGATAATGAGGACCAATGTAAAACTAATGGAACAGACTTAGCTAGAGATTCAGAAGGATTTAATTCTCCGAAGCAATGTGATAGTTCCAATATTAGTCATGTAGAAAATGAAGCTTTTCCAAAGACCTCTTCAGCAACTCCACAAGAAACTCTTATTTCTGATGGTCTCTTCTCAGTAAATGAACAACAGGATCTACCACTTTTGGCAGAAGTCACCCCAGATCCCTATGTAATGAGTCTTCAGAATCTGATGAAAAAGTCAAAGGAATATATAGAAAGAGAACAATCTAGACGCAGTCTGAAAGGTAGTATGATGAGAATTGTTAATGAGAGTCATTTAGACAAAGAAAATGATGCTGTTAAAGTGGCTGACTGTGTAAAAGAGAAGGCCCAGTTGACAGGCAAACACTGTGTCTCAGTTATTCCTGACAAACCAAGCCTTAATAAATCAAATGTTCTTCTCCAAGGTGCTTCCACTCAAGCAAGCAGCATGAGTATGCCAGTTTTAGCTAGCTTTTCGAAAGTGGACATACCTGTACGAACTGGCCATTCCACTGTTCTAGAGTCTAATTCTGATTTTAAAGTTATTCCCACTTTTGTTACTGAAAATAATGTTATCAAAAGTCTTACAGGTTCATATGCCAAATTACCTAGTCCAGAGCCAAGTATGAGTCCTAAAATGCACCGAAGACGTTCCAGGACATCATCAGCATGTCATATACTTATAAATAACCCAATAAATGCCTGTGAATTAAGCCCTAAAGGAAAAGAACAGGCAATGGACTTAATTGTTCAAGATACTGATGAAAAAACAAATGTGCCCGAAATTCTGCCAAAGTTACCAATTGATTTAGCAGGAGTTTGTTCAAGCAAGGTTTATGTGGGCAAAAATACATCTGAAGTCAAAGAAGATGTGGTTTTAGGTAAATCAAATCAGGTATGTCAATCTTCAGGAAATCATTTAGAAAATAAAGTTACTCATGGACTTGCTACTGTGGAAGGTCAGTTAACATCCGAAGAGAGAGGTGCACACAAAATGAACAGTACCTGCACTGTGATGCCAAAGCTGCATGAACCATATGCCAGCAGTCAGTGTATAGCAAGTCCAAACTTTGGAACTGTGAGTGGACTCAAGCCAGCCAATATGTTAGAGAAAAACTGCAGTTTGCAAACGGAACTGAATAAGTCTTATGATGTAAAAAACCCTTCTCCTTTATTGATGCAAAACCAGAATATGAGACAGCAGATGGACACACCTATGGTGTCCTGTGGAAATGAACAATTTTTGGATAACAGTTTTGAGAAAGTTAAACGGAGACTTGATTTGGATATTGATGGTGTGCAAAAAGAAAACTGCCCTTATGTCATAACAAGCGGAATAACTGAACAAGAAAGGCAACATTTGCCAGAAAAAAGATACCCTAAGGGATCTGTCTTCATTAACAAGAATAAAATATTAGGAACTAGTTCCAAAGGTAAGGAATCCTTGAAGCATTTGATACCTGCTATGCGGATGATACCTTTATTTTAATAATTGACATTTTTGGGGAAAAAATGGTCTTCATTCATATAGGCACTTAATTTTATCTTATTAGAAAGCTTATAGTCAGCTGCAGTTTATTGCCATTTGATAGGCTTTCTTAAAGATTTTCTTGAGACAAGGTCTGGCTTTATCACCCCAGTTTGGAGTGAAGTGGCATGACTTCAGCTCACTGCAACCTCCGCCTCCTGGGCTCAAGCCATCCTTCCACCTCATCCTCCCAAGTAGCTGGGACTACAGGCTCATGCCACCATGCCCGGCTAATTTTTGTATTTTTTGTATTGTAGAGATGTGGTTTCCGGCATGTTGCTCAGGCTAATCTCAAACTCGTGAGCTCAAGTGAGCCTCCTGTCTCAGCCTCCCAAAGTTCTGGGATTACAGGCATGAGCCACGGCACCCAGCCAGGATTTTCTTTTTTGAGACAGTCTGGCACTGTTGCCCAGGCTAGAGTGCAGTGGCACAAACTTGGCTAACTGCTACCTCCACCTCCCGATTCAAGCAATTCTCATGCCTCAGCCTCCTGAGTAGCTGGGATTACAGGTGTGAGCCACCATGCCTGGATGGATCTTCTTATTTAAATGATGAAGCTTTCATAGTCCACTTGGTATTATTGAGAATATTAATAATTGGAGGAAACAGTTCTTTTTTTTTTTTTTTTTTTTTTTTTGAGACAGAGTCTTGCTCTGTCACCAGGCTGGAGTGCAGTGGCGGGTTCTCACCTCACTGCAACCTCTGCTTCCTGGGTTCAATTGATTTTCGTGCCTCAGCCTCCAGAGTAGCTGGGATTACAAGTGCGTGCCACCTGGCCTGGCTAATAAATATTTTTAGCAGAGATGTGGTTTCGCCATGTCGGCCAGGCTGCTCTCAAGCTCCTGGCCTCAAGCTATCTACCTGCCTCAGCCTCCCAAAGTGCTGGTGTGAGCCACTGCACCTAGCGCCAAACAGTCCTGCCTGAAACATCACTTACAGTTTTAATTCACTGTATTGCTATGAGGTCTTTCTTTTGGACTATAGTTTCTAATGTTTATTTCAGTTTGCTTTTTCATTTGTAGTGCGATCTTCATGTAGTTGGCCTTTCGGTAAACACTTTAATAACAAATTATTAGATAGAGTATCAGAAATAAGGCTCTGAGTAGGTGGTTCAAAAATGGTTCTTTAGGCCGGCGTGGTTGCTCATGCCTGTAATCCCAGCATTTTGGGAGGCCGAGGTGGGTGGATCACTTGAGGTTGGGAGTTCGAGACTAGCCTGACTAATATGACGAAACTCCGTCTCTACTAAAAATACTAAAATTAGCTGGGTGTAGTGGTGCACATCTTTAATCCCAGCTACTTGGGAGGCTGAGGCAGGAGAATTGCATGAACCCAGAAGGCGGAGGTTGCAGTGAGCTAAGATTGCACCATTGCACTCCAGCCAGGGTGACAGAGCCAGATTCCGTCTCAAAAAAAAAAAAGATTCTTTATTAATAAAAATTATTTCAGTTTCTGTTGTATCTATTAACAGCAATTTATTAAAGCACGTTTTTCTCCTTCATTACTCCTTACTTTATTGTCATGGTTCATAATTCTTTATTACTGATATAGAAGACATACAAATCAAGTAAATTAAGCTTTTAGGGCTTATGGGAAATACAGGGTTGGGTCAGACTGCTTAAAACCTGTGCAACTTTATTTTTTATTTTTATTTTTATTTTTTTGAGACAGGGTCTTGCTCTGTCACCCAGGCTGGATTGCTGTGGTGTGATCTCAGCTCACTGCAGGTCTGGGTTCAAGCGATTCTCCTGCCTCAGCCTTCCAAGTATCTGGGATTTACAGGCTTGCGCCACCACGCCCAGCTAATTTTTATATTTTTTGTGGAGACAAGGTTTCACCATGGTGGCCAGGCTGGTCTCGAACTCCTAGGCTCAAGTGATCAGCCCTCCTTGGCCTCCCAAAGTGCTGGGATTACAGGTTTGAGCCACCAGCCCTGGCCCATCCTGTGCAACTTTATAAGAGCTCTAATAAAAACAGTGACTGTTACCTGGGGAGCCAACTTGGATCCTCCAAGTAGACAGCATAGCAAGGCAAGAGGCTGCCTTAGTGAATATCAGAAGTACATAAGGCCAACAGAGTGGAAATTTCCTTTTTTTTTTTTGAGACGGAGTTTCACTCTTGTTGCCCAGGGTGGAGTGCAATGGTGCGATCTCAGCTCACTGCAGCATCTGCCTCCCAGGTTCAAGCGATTCTCCTGCCTCGGCCTCCCAAGTAGCTGAGGTTACAGGCATGCGCCACCATACCTGGCCAATTTTGTATTTTTTTAGTAAAGATCAGGTCTCACCATGTTGGTCATGCTGGTCTCAAACTCCTGATCTCAAGTGATCCACCTGCCTCGGCCTCCCAAAGTGCTGGGATTACAGATGTGAGCCACCATGCCCAGCCCATACTTGGTATTTGTACATTTCAACATGTCTTACCACCTTCTACGTAGGAAGCTTGTATTGTCATAATGTTTTCTCTTAATTAGTAACTAAAATATCTGGAATTTTCATGTCCAGTCCTTTTTGAAACCTCAAGCTGAGAAAGCTTTATACCATCAAAGAAACACTTTCTTGGAAAATCAAAACAAGGCAAAACTACAGGCTACAATACCAGAGACCCTGGAGGACAAGTGTCAAAAAAACAAATGGTGGTAGGATGCAGTTGAGAATCAAATCTGAAAGTTAAGTAGAGTCAGGAGAATCTTGTCTGAATATATAGTCCTGGGTCTGTCATTTCAGATCAGGATGGGATCTGTTGAATGAGTGGGTAAAGGTGATGCAATACAGGTCTTACTTTACTGAGTATCATGAAATAAAAGGAGTGGAAAATGTGAATGTGGCTCAAAGTAGAGACCCAGCTATATCTTAATTGTATTATGTCAGATCCAGGAATACTCTCTTGTCAGAAGAATAATTTAAATTGAATGGTATAAAATATCAGACATTAGACTTGTAGTGAATTTTCTAAATTGAGGAGACATGTTTCTTTTCAGAAAGCGAGGAGTTACTAAAAAGCAAGATGCTAGCTTTTGAAGAAATGCGGAAGAGACTAGAAGAACAGCATGCTCAGCAGTTATCACTACTCATAGCTGAGCAGGAAAGGGAACAAGAAAGATTGCAAAAGGTGAGGAATGTGGGGGGAGATACGACTGGTAAGTGAAATTTAGCCAAGGATACCTATGAATTTTGGTCATGTATAGAATACTTGTAATTTTTTCCTCCATATTTCTTATGGTAAGGGAGTCATTTTGATACATGAATGGTATTTTTTGTCAAAATGTGAAGTTTGATATTTAGATCCTTATTTAAAAGTAACTGCATAATTTATCAAGGATATTTTATTGAATCCTTGATTTAAAGCTTAATATTTTCAAAAGGTATTTTGTAAATAGGTGCTAAAGAACACATTCTGCAAGAGTTATATCATAAAAATGACACTTGTGCTGGGCATGGTGTCATGAACCTGTAGTCCCAGCTACGTAGGAGGCTGAGGTGGGAGGATCACTTGAGCCCAGAGATTCAAGGCTGCAGTGAGCTATGATTTCGCCTTTGTGTAGCCACTGCACTCCAGCCTGGGCAACAGAGGGAGACCCTGTCTCTATAAAAAGAAAAAATAAGAATGACACTTGTTATAATATTATTATAGTTATTAATAATTTATACATTATCACATATTAAAATACATTATAGACTGGGCGCCGTGGCTCATGCCTGTAATCCCAGCACTTTGGGAGGCCAAGGTGGGTGGATCACCTGAGGTCAGGAGTTTGAGACCGGCCTGGCCAACATATAGTGAAATAATGTCTCTACTAAAAAATACAAAATGGTGGTGCACACCTGTAGTCCTAGCTACTTGGAAAACTGAGGCAGGAGAATCACTTGAACCCACAAGGTGGAGATTGCCGTGAACCGAGATTGTGCTACTGTATTCCAGCCTGGGGGACAGAGCGAGATTCCGTTTCTCAAAACGAGAGAGAGACAGAGAGAGAGAGAGAAAGGAAAAGAAAAGAGGGAGGGAGGGAGGGAGGGAAGGAAGGAAGAAAGGAAGGAAGGAAGGAAGGAAGGAGAGAGAAGGGAAGGGAAGGGAGAAGGAAGGAAGGATAATTTGAGGAAGAAAAACTTGAAATAATTGCTGATAATTACATGTACTTTTGGCTAAGCCTAAAATGATATCATTTTAGGACATAATTAAAAGGTTTAGCATGTTACAATAAACTGTTCATCTATAGGAAATAGAAGAGCAGGAAAAAATGTTAAAAGAGAAGAAGGCAATGACAGCGGAAGCCTCTGAGTTGGACATTAACAGTGCAGTGGAATTAGAATGGAGAAAAATAAGTGACTCTAGTTTGCTGGAAACAATGCTGTCTCAAGCGGACTCACTCCATACTTCAAATTCAAATAGTTCTGGTAAATATTTAAAAATCCTTTTGCATTTGGGAAAATGATCCTACAGTAAGATATTTATTTGGCACACTATAAGATTATATCTCCTGTTTTCAAATGATTCCATGTCCAACCCTCTTCGCCAGCTGCTTAGTAACCAGTGAAAAATGACAAGATAGGAGATCAAAGACTTGTGAACAGTTTGTGAGCAAAGAATACCTTTGCTAGGAAAATATCAGGAAATTCGGCTCAGAGCCATCTGATCATTCATGCAGCAGGTGATATACTTCGAGTGAAAACAGTTTGCTCTCTCCTGAGTGATCTTGAATTACCTCTAATTCCCTAGTCCTTTTAAAGAGCTTATCTTCATGTCTCAATTGTCCTGAGACACTTTGTGTTGAAAAGATCCATCTGGTACATAAGCTTTAAAGTCCATAAATATTTTAAGTCGGCAGGTGGGTCAGTTTTGGAGGCAATTGCTATTCTTAATGAGTATCACAAGTGTTTATTGGGATGTTCTTTGTATTCTAATTATATGACATCAGGTATAATACTATATGTATGTTTCTCTAGGTTTCACAAATTCTGCCCTGCAGTATAGCTTTGTTTCTGCAAATGAAGCACCATTCTACCTCTGGGGATCATCAACTAGTGGCTTGACTAAACTCTCAGTAACAAGGCCTTTTGGAAGAGCCAAAACTAGATGGTCTCAAGTGGGTAAACTTAATGATACATGTCCATCTATCTATTTATCTTTTCTTAAAAGCTATATTATCTTAGACTGTATAAATGAACACCAATAAACATTGTGTCTATCTTCTTTCACCTAGGTTTTTAGTCCGGAAATACAAGCAAAATTTAACAAAATAACTGCAGTGGCAAAAGGATTTCTTACTCGTAGACTTATGCAGACAGATAAGCTGAAGCAACTTCGACAAACTGTAAAAGTAAGATTCCTGTAAATTGTTTGTATTTTGCTTCTGTCTTAGTTTCTATCAGTCTTGTGACAGCTGAGCTAACAGATTAGTTCAGAACTTAAACACTTTTTAGTCACTGTAATAGGCAGTTTTAGAAGTCTGATTGTTTGTTGGGGGAAGTCAGAGACCTGGAACGGAGGGACTGGCTGGAGCCGCAGCAAAGGAATATAAATTGTGAAGATTTCATTTTAATATGGACATATATCAATTCCCAAATAATACTTTTATAATTTCTTATGCCTGTATTTACTTCAATCTCTGAACATAAATTGTGAAGATTTCATTTTAATATGGACATTTATCAGTTTCCAAAATTAATACTTTTATAATTTCATATGCCTGTCTTTAATCTCGTAATCCTGTTATCTTCGTAAGCTGAGGATATATGTCACCTCAGGACCACTATTGTGTTAACTGTACAAATTGAGTGTAAAACGTGTGTTTGAGCAATATGAAATCAGTGCACCTTGAAAAAGAACAGAATAACAGTGATTTTCTAGGAACTAGGGAAGACAACCATAAGGTCTGACTGCCTATGGGGTTGGGCAAAACAGAGCCATATTTTTCTTCTTGCAGAGACCCTGTAAACGGACGTGCAAGTAGGGAAGATATCGCTAAATTCTTTTCCTAGCAAGGAATATTAATAATTAATACCCTGGGGAAGGAATGCATTCCTGGGGGGAGGTTTATAAACGGCCGCTCTGGGAGTGTCTGTCTTATGTGGTTGAGATAAGGACTGAAATACGCCCTGGTCTCTTGCAGTACCCTCAGGCTTACTAGGATTGGGAAACTCCACCCTGGTAAATTTGTGGTTAGACCAGTTCTCTGCTCTCGAACCCTGTTTTCTTTTGTTTAAGATGTTTATCAGTACAATATGTGCACAGCTGAACATAGACCCTTATCAGTAGTTTCTGATTTTGCCCTTGTCCTGTTTCCTCAGAAGCATGTGATCTTTGTTCTCCTTTTTGCCCTTTGAAGCATGTGATCTTTGTGAACTACTCCCTGTTCTTGCACCCCCTCCCCTTTTGAAATCCTTAATAAAACTTGCTGGCTTTAAGGCTCAGGTGGGCATCACGGTTTTACTGATATGTGATGTAACCCCTGGAGGCCCAGTGGTAAAATTCCTCTCTTTGTACTCTTTCTCTTTATTTCTCAGCCAGCCAACACTTATGGAAAATAGAAAGAATCTACGTTGAAATACTGGGGGCTGGTTCCCCTAATAATTGTTAATCTTACTCAGATAATATTATGAATAACATGTAAATGAAGCAGTTTGTGTGTATTTCTCTTGCTTGAAAGTGAGTGGTGTTTGACTTCTAATAAGTAACAGTTTTATTTACGTTCTTAGTACAGTTGGCCCTCTATCTCTGGGTTCCACATCTGTGGATTCAACCAACCATGAATCAAAAATAATTCAGAAAAAACAAATGATGGTTGTGTCTGTACTGAACATGTACAGATTTTTTTTTCTTGTCATTATTTCCTAAACAATATAACAACTATTTATGTAGCATGTACGTTTATTAGGTATTTTAACTAATCTAGAGATGATTTAAAGTACATGGGAGATGTGCTTAGGTTATATGCAGATAACCATTTTATATAAGGGACTCCAGCATCCTTGGATTTGGTATCTGAGGGATTCCTGGAACCAGTCCCCCACAGATACTGAGGAAAGACTGTAATTTTGGATTGACTGAGAAAAAGAAGAAAGGAAACTCCAGTGATCACAAATCTTTCTAGAAAAGTGTGTTTGAAGGAGCATTTCTTTTTTCAGGATACTATGGAATTCATAAGAAGTTTTCAGTCAGAAGCACCATTGAAGAGAGGCGTTGTTTCAGCTCAAGATGCTTCACTTCAGGAAAGAGTGTTAGCTCAGGTAAATACGTGGCTCCTGAAGGCTTTTAAGACATGGACATATTATATTTCTCCTTTTTTATTTAATTACTGAAAATAGATTTCAATGAAAATTATTTTAACCTTTTTCTATAAGTAAGTGTACATGGTATATAGTATTCCTAAACTCTGACCTCATCATTTAAACGTATACAATATTTTCTTTTCTTGTGTCTAGTTGCGAGCTGCCCTGTATGGTATTCATGACATATTCTTTGTAATGGATGCAACTGAAAGAATGTCTATTCTACATCATGATCGAGAAGTTCGCAAAGAGAAAATGCTCAGGCAAATGGTATGTTACATGATTTCTAATGAATAGAGTTCTTCTGGGTTTAGGATAATTGATATTAAATGTCATTTTTGGTTGACTTCAGCACCCTTCTGATAATTCTTAAGCACAAGTAATTCCTGGAATTACTAGCAACATTTAAATCTGTAGATAGATTTAAAAGAATTACATAATTTAAGAATTACATATTGTTTTCTGCTTGGATTTTAGAGTTGAAGCTTTGAATGTTTTGCTCAGATGGCTTATACAGTCTATCAGCTGCTCCTGATTGAATTTTCTTGAATTCAGTTATAACATGGGTTTTACTTTTTTTGAAGTCTGAGTTAGAAAACAGGCTCCAGATTAATTTGAAGTATATCAGAGTTTGTGATTTGAATCAATTAGTGTAATTGGCAAAGGAAAAGCAAGCAAAATTTACATAATTCTAATTATTCTTAGAATTAGACTGCTTCAAAAATACAAAACAAGATGATTTAACTAAATTAAAAATGTTAGTAGAGAGAAGCTTTTCCAGGCAGTTTGGGATCATTCTGTATTATAATATAGTGGTATTAATTGGTACCAGTAGAGTTTAACATTACTTTTGTATATTAAAGGATAAAATGAAAAGTCCACGAGTGGCTCTTTCAGCTGCAACACAGAAGTCTCTTGATAGGAAGAAATACATGAAGTAAGTTTTTTGTATCACGTCATGTTAGTTATCAAACCAATTAATTGTAGTCATCTGTTGGTCTATTTGCATATTTAAATTTAGAAGTAAAGAAGGGTTAATTTTTCTGCAGTTGAGCTGATAGAAATCCCCTTTATATAAAGAAATTTATTAAAATCAGGTGCTAAAATCTCATTTCATCTTAGATGAATTTATTTACTAAATTTGACAACATTCAACTCATATAACTGATAGTTGATCAATCTTAAAAACAGTTAATCTTTATGTTCAGTGACTAAATGTATGCTTTTTCTGATGTCCTAAAGGTTTCTGGGGAATAAAGACTTAATGGGAAAAATATCTTAGTAACTTCTTAAAAAATTCTTCTTTCTTGAATAGAGTCTTTAATATGCTTAGTACAGGTCTTCCAGTAGTACACCAGCTTCTAAATGATGATTTGTTTCTGTCTCCTGTATTACATTTGTAAGCATGTTTTCCTCCCTTCTCTAAATACATTATGTCCTTATTTTTATATTGTGTTAGAGCTGCTGAAATGGGAATGCCAAATAAGAAATTTCTGGTTAAACAAAATCCTTCTGAAACAAGGTGAGAAAAATCACTTAGTCTTAATGAGAGGCTTTTTGTTTTTTATAGAAAAAAAAAAATTGGCTGGGCACAGTGGCTCAAGCCTGTAATCCCAGCACTTTGGGAAGCCAAGGCGGATGGATCACCTGAGGTTGGGAGTTTGAGATCAGCTTGACCAACATGGAAAACCCCGTCTCTACTAAAAATACAAACTTTGCTGGGCATGGTGGCACATGCCTGCAATCCCAGCTACTCAAGAGGCTGAGGCAGGAGAATTGCTTGAACCCGGGAGGCAGAGGTTGCAGTGAGCCAAGATCGTGCCATTGCACTCCAGCCTGGGCAACAAGAGTGAAACTCTATCTCAAAAAAAAAAAAAATTTAAATCCCAAACTTCATTTTTGTTGACTTTGTTCTACTTGACATCAGTAGATAACTTCTTGCTGAATTGGGTGGGGGCTGGTCCTCAGGCTCAAGATTCATATGAATACCTGGCTGTCAGACCAGATGTATCTGGAGCTTTTGTAGGACATACTATCTGTGGTTAAAATTTTGAGCGTGATATGTCTTGAGTTCGGTTACACAGTCCAGAGGATCTTTGATACTTATTTAAAAACCTTAGAAAGCTAACTTAAGCTGGGCCGGGTGCAGTGGCTCATGCCTGTTATCCCAGCACTCTGGGAGGCTGAGGTGGGTGGATCACGAGGTCAGGAGTTCAAGACCAGCCGGGTCAAGATGGTGAAACCCTGTCTCTAGTAAAAATAAAAAAATAAAAAAAGCCGGGTATGGTGGCACGTGCCTGTAATCTCAGCTCCTCAGGAGGCTGAGGCAGGAGAATTGCTTAAACCCGGGAGGCGGAGGTTGCAGTGAGCTGAGACTGCACCACTGTACTCCATCCTGGGCGATAGAGCAAGACTCTGTCTCAAAAAGAAAAACTAACTTAAATTGGCTGCAGTGGCATGCTTCTATGATCCCAGCTACTCGGGAGGCTGAGGCAGGAGGATAGCGTAACCCCAGGGGTTCAAACCAGTCGGGGTAACATAGTAAATAAGACCCATCTCAAAATAAATAAATAAATAAATAATAATGAAAGCTAAAAAGTGAACTTGATTATTTCTGACCTGTTTTTTACTCCTGTAAAATGGGAGTGATACTTTCTTCTCTCACTGGTTTGAAAGGAAAAGTTAACTTTTGTAAAGTATATGTATAAGGAAATTATCTACAAGCACAAGGGTTAGTCTATATGTTGGACATTTCTTTGCCTGTAAAAACCTAAGGTTTGGACTCTTAGTGAGTAAAATGTAAGTATCATATTAATATGCTTTAGTCGATTTGTTCTGCTTTGTGGTAATATATAGGCCATGTTGCATAGTTGAATTTTACCTTATGATCATCATCTTTCATCCGTTGAAAGAAAATGGGAAAAAAGTGGAATTTATCCTTTTAAATTAATTTTTTATTTAATTTGTCAACAGAGTCCTTCAGCCAAACCAAGGACAGAATGCACCTGTTCATAGGCTACTTAGTAGACAAGGGTAAGAATGCCACACCATGGGTATTGAAAACTACGGAAACCAAGATTAGATTTGAGAGGGAAAAATAAATCTAGTGTTCTTTACATAAAGGATAATGGTTTTTCAAATGGGATTTTTTTCTTTATAGCATTGGGAAAGATATTTTAAAGTTTTGTCTTCAAATGTAACCCTCTTGGTGTACTGTTGTGTATTCTAATTACTGTCTTATGTTGGCATGTTTTTACTTTTCATTTCATACCATTTTACTCATAAAGTATTTTAAATATCCATATAGTAAGTTCAGCATCACCGAAGTGATTCTCCAACAGAGTGTGACTCATGCTTATAGTCTCCTGCTGAAGCCAGAGTTTAGCTTTCCTTACTGTGCGCATGCATGAGACTTCAGTTCTTTTCAAGCTTATTTGTGCTTTGGACAGTTGATGCAGTGTGATTGCTTTCTTTGAATTTTGAACATTTAGACCTTAATGCCAGTGACTTATTAATTTTTTTATATTCAATTAGAACCCCTAAGACATCAGTGAAGGGGGTTGTGCAAAATAGACAGAAGCCTTCACAGAGCAGAGTGCCTAACAGAGTGCCTGTTTCAGGTTTGTAGAAAATGAATTCCTGAAGCCCATTCAATAGAAGGAAGTGCACAAGCTGCCCCATAACTCAGGCCACAGAAGTGGAATAGATTGTCTTTCCTTGCCACCATAATTTTGGCATATTCATGGTCATCTTATTAGTGTTTTTTGGTCTTAGCATTGTATGGCAGTCAGGAAGTCTTAGTAAAAGTGTGATTCCAGTCTTGATATCTATAATGTTTCTATGGAAAGCACCATGTATTTTTCATTCTGAAAAAATTGTAGAATTTGCCATGCTTAATTCAGAAAACCTTTTTATTTAATGAATAAAAGATAATGATCATCTGTGGTGCTAAGTCTGTGCATTGTCTGTTCAGCTTGGGGAAGTGTGTCTACACATAAGGGGATAAAACTTTCTCCCTCAGACTATAAGATCACATGTGAATATGCCAGTGGGAGGAGGGCTTCATATTTTGCTCAGTCCGAGGCTTGAGCTAAATCTCTCCTTATGTTCATTATTTGAGGAGTAATAGCTAAACTAAAAACTGTGTTTTAAAATTCTGTTTATGGTGGCAAGAAGACAAACTCATTCTTGAGCTAATTCAAAGCTCTTAACCAAATGCTGTAATATTTTTTAGGTATCTTTGTTAAGATACTTTGATTAAGCTCACTTAAAAATTATGTGATCCATTTAAAAATACTTTCCAATTGTTGTCCTTTAACTATACTGCTTTCTAGACATTTACAAGAAACCTAAATTAATCACCAGGCATTGAAGATTCAACCTTTAATCAATCCTAATCTTTCCATTAATATACAATTAGGCAAATTTTAGAGCTTTTATTACTAAGTGATTTCCTTCAAATTAGGAGGAAACAAGCTATTGATCATAACTTTGAAATGATGGCTGACCTTTTGTATGTTTGTAGTGAATGTAATTCATAGTGTCACACATAGATAGGGTAATTTAAAAGGTCATCTTTGGAAATCATTGTGAGTGACAGTTAATGGAATTGTCTTAAAGGATTACATAGCTGAAGATACTGCTTACTCCAGAGGCAGTCAGAATAAGCTAGTTTGAAAGATAACCATTTGAAAGGACTCAGACCAAACACCAGACCTGTGGAATTTTAAGACATTTTCTGTTTTTCTCATGTTAATATTCTATATTGCACTGAAACCTAGCAAGTTGGAAAATCATTGAGGAATTAGTATTGTTTTGCCTGATATCAATTTACCACAGTGACTACTCTCCATGTTCTTTTCTCATGCATTTCATCTCCACTATTTGTCACTTGTGAACTTATAAGCAAAATGCAAGTACTGTTTTTATTCAGCAATACTCAACAGTATAAAGGATGTATAGGCAGTCATTGAAGTTAGTAACATACAATGAAGTTCATTATTTTGAACTATTGAGGTTTAATTGCATTGAAACATAATTATTAATACAAATGAACTTAACCCTTGAATTAACATGTACAATTAATATGTATCTAAACAAGTACAAAAATCTGTTGCTGTTGTTTTCTAAAGATTTACTTACACGTGAGTGCATATTTACACAATAGAAAGAGACTAAAGAATTGTATTCTTTTTTGTTTTTATTTTTATTTTGAGACAGAGTCTTGTTCTGTTGCCCAGGCTAGAGTGCAGTGGTGTGATCTTGGCTCACTGCAACTTCTGCCTCCCAGGTTCAAGCCATTCTCCTGCTTCAGCCCCCTGAGTAGCTGGAATTACAGGCGCGTGCCACCACGCCCAGCTAATTTCTTGTGTTTTTAGTAGAGATGGGGTTTTACCATACTGGCCAGGCCAGTCTCAAATGCCTGACCTCAGGTGATCCACCCACCTCGGCCTCCCAGAGCTCTGGGATTACAGGTGTGAGCCACCTTGTCTAGACAGAATTGTATTCTTTTATATAAACTGAGAGCTTGGGATACTGGCTGGTTAAAATGCTAACTATGAATCTGAACACAGGAATCCATTGTCGCTTTTTAAAATATTACTCTTTCCTGCTTAGAGTTTTAATGGTCTGAATTACGTTTTAAACAAATTTGAAATTATGTTTTGATTTGCTCTAAACAGAGGCAAATTCTTTGTTAAGCAATTTATAGAAAACTAATTTTTGTTATGATAGAATATCATACTCTTAGACTGAATTAGAATTCTAAAATGTTAAAGTACGCTGCAAAGCATTTAGTTATAGTTTTACAAACCTAAATTGCAATCTCTGATTTTATCATAAGTGATCTTTGACTTAGTTTTAAAACACATTTCTTCATTTGATGTTTTGTGCTTGACTAGAGTTTATATAGTGAAATTCAGAAACCACTAATCAAAGCAGAGTAGGAGGTGGTCATGCAAAATGGCTAAGTAAAATAACACATCAGGTGGAACTGGGTTATCAGAGTTCTTCTAGCTCTGTTCGTTAGGCAAGTGCTCTCCTATGCCTCGGTTTTATTAGACTTAAAATGGTCATAACAATTTCTACCTCAGGATGATTCATATAATGATTAAATATGATAATGTATATTGCCTAGCTTAGTGTTTGTTCCAGAGTAAAAACTCATTAAATTGTATCATTATAGAAAACCTACCATTGAAAAGTAATACTAATTTTGCTCTATTTTTAGGAGTATATGCAGGAAAAATCCAAAGAAAGCGGCCAAATGTTGCGACAATTTAAGAAGACAACATTCATTAGGATAAAACTGGGGGAGGATTATTATCCATGTTATTTTCCCTGCCCAAGACTTTATTTAACCCTGGACTCTGTTTACACAGACAAAGTGACATCAGAAGGCTGAGCCCTTATCTGGATCATTTGGTCAGTTTGGTAATTCCTGCTCAACGCCCCTATTTTCCTCTTAATAATAAGTTTGGGTGAAGACAAATTAGTGTTTAGTAATTGCATCATCTCTGTGCTTACCTATACAAACCTAAGTTTGTTTTATATGCCCAGATGTCTACAGAGACCCTTTTTGTAAACATCAAGGATGTTTGGGTTTACTTTTACAGAATATTGAAAAGATAAGACAAATTATAAATAAGTTCTAAAACATAAATTTCATTATCTCTGCATAGTGATTTTTGAGTTAGATTCAAAGGGAACTTATTGCAGAAGAATCCCTTTCTCTCATTTTATAACTTTAAAAACTTGGATTAACCGCTCAAAGTCCACATTCTTTGACTTATAGTATAACCATGTAGCCAATTGTGGTCCACTAAAATCTACTACAGAAGTTAATGTGGGTCACCATTTTGGTCAGAAGCATACATTCCTGTGAACAACTAGTTGTTTTACAGAAATGTTAGGCTTCACGTTTGTTACCCCAGTACTGTTAGAAACATTTGTAGTAGGTTATAAGATCTTTCTGTGACGGGTAACAAATTTGGGGAAGACAGCACAATCTTCTTGAATGTAGCTCTTGGGAATGCATTATTACATCCATTTCTGTAAAATAATAATATGTTGCATGCAGTTATATTTTCTATTTAGTCTGTATATTTTGTTCTTCATAGTCTGTTTTTTCTAGCATGCTTGATTTAGGAGAGAATAAAGGGCTATATAAATAATAAATCCAGATTTCAGGATAAGAATATTGCCTGGTTAAAATTCTGCGTTGCTTGAAGACACCCATGTTTAAGATTTTTCATCACTAACATATCCATTAAAAGTATCCATAAAAACTGGCCAGACAAGGTGGCTTACGCCTGTAATCCCAGCACTTTGGGAGGCCAAGGCGGGTGGATCACCTGAGGTCAGGAGTTTGAGACCAGCCTGACCAAACATGGGGAAACCCCATCTGTACTAAAAATACAAAAATTAGTCGGGCATGATGGTGCATGCCTGTAGTTCCAGCTACTTGGGAGGCTGAGAGAGGAGAATCGCTTGAACCTGGGAGGCAGAGGTTGCAGTGAGGCAAGATTGTGCCATTGCACTCCAGCCTGGGTAACAGAGTGAGACTGTCTCAAAAAAAAAAAAGAAAAAAGTATCAATCAACAAATGTTACCAAGAAAACATGACTTCATGAGAGAGAATGTCACTATTAATTTATCATACCATAATAGATATCCAAAAAGGGCTTTGTGCTTTTCACATAAAATTGGGATAGTGTATATTTAATCTAATTTAAATTTTAAAGAGATACTGGTATTTTGAAAATGCAGCCTGTACATATTCTTAATATCCTTTTAAGAATACGGAGGTGAAAATTGTTTTCTCCAATTTTCTGTGCCATTTTAAATTTAACTTTGACATCCAGCTATAGACAGAAATAATAAGCCACCCTGGGTGTAAACTTGATTTTCTTTATTGAGATGTATCATGTATTGAATGAGTGAACTAGAAAATTAGAAGATGGTCAAAAAAAGTCCAAGTGACCCATTTTTTAAAATTTATAGGCAAAGTATCAAATTGTCTTCTTAATATGATAAACTGTGCTTTATCATTCTGAAAACTCAGGATACAGCTTATTCATAGCATTGTGGGTCTCTCCAGTAAGAAACATGCTAACAGTTTTGTGCACTCTTTGTGTGGTTAATGCAAATTAGTTAAAACAAATAGTATGTTTTGGAGACAGTTAAAACTAGCTTTAGAGGAAGGATGAGAAACTTGAGTGTGTTTTTAATTTAAAGATAAAAACGTGTGTTTTACACATTTTTTTGGTGTTCATAGCTTTTTCTCATACAAGTGCCAGACACTGTTTGGTGCTTTTGATTGATTTTTATTTATATACATTTTTTTGCTTATTTTTACTTTGAGTGGAATGTTCATTAATGTAAATTGTATTTATTTTTATACTTTTATTTTTACTAGTTTTGCTTCTAGGCAAAAAGCAAAATAAACTTTTCATCTTAAAGAAAATCTAGTTTGATTGTTTTTATTTACCAGGGGAGGGACTATTAAGAAATAGATAGGCCGGGCATGGTGGCTCATGCCTGTAATTCCAGCACTTTGGGAGGCCAAGGCGGGTGGATCATGAGATCAGGAGTTTGAGACCAGCCTGGCCAATGTGGCGAAATCCCATATCTACTAAAAATACAAAAATTAGCTGGGTGTGGTGGTGCCTGCCTGTAGTTCCAGCTACTTGAGAGGCTGAGACAGGAGAACTGCTTGAACCTGGAAGGCAGAGGTTGCAGTGAGCCGAGATTGTGCCACCTCACTCCAGAGCGAGACTCTGTCTCAAAAAAAAGAAAAAAAAAGTATCAACCAACAAATGTTACCAAGAAAACATGCCTTCATGAGGGAGAATGTCACTATTAATTTATCATACCATTTCCAAAAAGGGCTTTGTGCTTTTCACATAAAATGGAGATAGTGTATATTTAATCTAATTTAAATTTTAAAGAGATACTGGTATTTTGAAAATGCAGCCTGTATACTTAATATCCTTTTAAGAATACGGAGATGAAGATTGTTTTCTCCAATTTTCTGTGCCATTTTAAATTTAACTTTGACATCCAGCTATAGACAGAAATAATAAGCCACCCTGGTGTAAACTTGATTTTCTTTATTGAGATGTATCATGTATTGAATGAGTGAACCAGAAAATTAGAAGATGGTCAAGAAAAGTCCAAGTTGTCAATTTTTTTAAATTTATAGGGAAAGTATCAAATTGTCTTCTTAATATGATAAACTGTGCTTTATCATTCTGAAAACTCAGGATACAGCTTATTCATAGCATTGTGGGTCTCTCCAGTAAGAAACATGCTAACAGTTTTTGTGTATTTTTTTGTGTGTGTGTGTAATGCAAATTAGTTAAATAGTATGTTTTGAAGATAGTTAAAACTAGCTTTAGAGGAAGGATGAGAAACTTGCGTGTTTTTTTAATTTAAAGATAAAAGCATATGTTTTACACATTTTTTTGGTGTTCATAGCTTTTTCTCATATAAGTGCCAGACACTATTTTGTGCTTTTGATGGATTTTTATTTATATACTTTTTTTTGCTTATTTTTGAGTGGAATGTTCATTAATGTAAATTGTATTTATTTTTATACTTTTATTTTCACTAGTTTTGTTTCTAGGCAAAAAGCAAAATAAACTTTCATCTTAAAATCTAGTTTGATTGTTTTTATTTACCAGGGGAAGGACTATTAAAAAACAGATAGGCCGGGCATGGCGGCTCATGTCTGTAATTCCAGCACTTTGGGAGGCCAAGGCGGGTAGATCACGAGATCAGGAGTTTGAGACCAGCCTGGCTAACATGGTGAAACCCCGTCTCTACTAAAAATACAAAATTAGCTGGGCGCAGTGGTGCATGCTTGTAGTTCCAGCTACTTGGGAAGCTGAAGCAAGAGAATCGCCTGAGCCTGGGAGGCAGAGGCTACAGTGAGCTGAGATTGTGCCACTGCACTCCAGCCTGGGAGACAGAGCGAGACTCCATCTCGAAACAAAAAAGAAATAGATATTAGCCAGGCATGGTGGTTCACATCTGTAGTCCTAGGGACTCTGGAGGCTGAGGCAAGAGGATCACTTGAGCCCAGGAATTACAGGCCCCAGTGAGCTATAATCGCACCACTGCACTCCAGTGTGAGTGAGGCTTTGTCTCCAAAAAAAAAAAAAAGAAAAAAGAAAAATAGATATTGAAAAGTATTTGGCCAAAACAAATATTGTATATAATCGTTCTTTACAATTACAAGTTCCATGAAAGATATATCTCATTATTTAATATATCCCCTGGGCCAGGTGCAGTGGCTCACGCCTGTAATCCCAACACTTTAGGAGGCCAAGGCGGAAGGATCACCTGAAGTCGGGAGTTTGAGACCAGCCTGGCCAACATGGTGAAACCCCATCTCTACTAAAAGTTGGACTTTTCAGAAGGTAAAACTCAAGCTGGAAATGTCTTAACTTATTAAGAGAGAGAAGCCTGCTAAGGGAAGGAGAGGGAGAAAAGAATACGAAGGTTGAAGCTCACATCAAGGCTGTTAATTTGCACAACTTTAAGAATCCTCCTCTTGTTACTGCCTAATCATGTAATGTGAGCCTAGGAAAAGGCTCCTCACCTTGACCGCTTATTGAGATGTTGCATGTGATAACATGCAAGGCTGTATGGGAAGAGCTCCTCGCTTTCCCCTGGCCACCCTTTAACCCTTGTTCACTTCCAGTGTTGGGAACAGTAGGTACGACTGGAAATACTTTCCTACCTATACTGAGCTGAACACTGGAGGGCCCGTTCCGGAGATGATCCTTTTCCCTGTCATAGGTCACCATCCCATGAACAACCACAGACCACCACCCCCGAATGAAAAGTAAGAGTTATAAAAACATTGAATGCCTTCTCTCTAAGGGACCATAATGGATAAGTAGGTTATAAAAATAATAATTAAAAAAAATTTTTTTTGAGACTGAGTTTCGCTCTTGTAGCCCAGGCTGATCCTGAACTCCTGACATCAGGTGACCCATCGGCCTCAGCCTCCCAAAGTTCTGGGATCATAGGCCTGAGCCACCGCTCCCGGCCTAAAATAATTTTAAAAACGTTCTGGGGTCGAAATTGATATCCACCTTCCTAGAAACTGCTTTGTCAAGTTGGAGGAAATGAGAACCCTAATTTCCCCCCCGTGCATTATTGGCAGTCAATCATATTGGATCTAGGGCAGCCCTTGGTTGCTAGTCGTGGGAAGGGCATTCTGGAAGTGCCTAAAACCGCCCGCAAAGCAGTGGGTAAAGCAGCCGCCTAGAGGGGGCATGGCTGACCCACGCCAAACAGCGCATTAGCCGCAAAACCAGGTGCTGGCGGAACCTCAGTTTGCGTCTTCGCTCCGCCGCCTTCTGGAGTCCTTTCCGCCCCTAGAGGACGCAGGTGGGCTAAACAGCAGTCAAGCCCTTCACCATCATGACGCCCGCAGGCGGGACCACCCGGCACTGTAGACAGCTGCCCTTTACAATCATGGCTCACAGAAACTCTAGGGCACGCTGGCCGAGACCGACGCTGCTCCTCAGAAGCATGGCGCCGGCGGAAGTTGTAACCTGGGCTGTCCGGAGTGGGCAGCTGCCCCTCACAAGCATGGCGTCAGCTGAAAATGAAGTCTGTACTGTGCGGAGCGTCGCCTGCCCCTCACAAACATGGCGCCCGCAGAAGGTGCAGTGCGGACTTAGTGGGGCGGGGCAGGTGCCCTTCACAAACATGGCGGCCGGGGTTGAGGGGCGTGGCGGGGTCTGGATGGGAAGCCGAGCAGACGGCCCCAGAACAAGCGGTCATGTGACTGGGAAGATGGCGGTCTTTCCTTGGTAAGGAAGCAGCGGCGGGTGGGCTTCTGGGAGGGGCTGTTTTAGTTGTGATGGGGTCGGCCTGGGTCTGAGAGTGTGAATTCCTCTCTGTCTGGTTATGGTGGTCGACCGCCCACCCCCAAGTTGTCTTGACCGTAGAATCCCTGCCCGCTACCGCGGTTCAGTGGAGCAGTCTGAAGCCAGACGGGCGGGTTCTTGGTTCTCTCCCCGTCTGCTGCCTCTCTGCGCCTTCCACGGGTCCCTGTCCATTCATTCCTTAAAGAAGACTTGAGTTTCCAGGCTTCCGCGTCCCCAGAAGTTGGCGCGGGTTCTGGGGTCGCTGGATGAGGGTAATGGTGGGCTCAGCTCTAAGTCTGGACGAGTCGGGAGACCTGGCTGTTGGTCAGTGTCCTGAGCTCCTCTGTTCACCTGGAGACTTGCTTTTCTCATCTGTAAAATGGCCGCCATTCATCCTACCCTAAGCACAGCCCTCAGACTTATTCCTTGGCCTCAAGGAGCTCACAGTATAATGGAGCAGACACACAGTAGAGGGGATGTCCAAAGAAGGCATTCGGCTGAGGCACCAAGAAGGGAGTGATTATCCCCACCAAGGGGCTGGGGGAAGGCTTCAAAGAGGAACAGTTATTCCTGTTATTGGATCTAGGGCAGTTATTCCTTCAAAGAGGAACAGTTAATCCTCCAAATTGGGTCTTGGAGAATGAACAGGAGTTCACCATAGGGGAGGGCGTGGCGTGTGCGTGGTTGGCAGGCCCTTAGGTCCCTTGTGTGGAGTAGCTAGGAGTGAGTGACTGAAGCGTCAGGGTTCAGCAGGTGGTATGTGTGTGAGTGAAGAACTTGAGCAAGTTTGTGTTGGTGATGATAGTGGGATTTGAGGACGGAGAATCTCTCAGAAAGCGAGATAATTTACTTTCTCTTCAAATGATGTGAAGTAGCTTAGATTAAATGAGCAAATGAAAGACCTTAGAAATAATCAGGTACAACCTTCTGCTTTCGTGCTTGACAAACAGTTGATTTCGTCTTATTCCTTTCACTTTTCCAACACTTAAGAGACTGCTTCCTTGACACGTTACATCAGCATTGAATGCCTCTGAGCACTTCCACGGCCTGAGTTTTCTTTCAGTTAATAGTCATGCTGGCTAGGTACGGTGGCTCACGCCTCTAATCCTAGCACTTTGGGAGGCCGAGGCTGGCGGATCACCTGAGGTCAGGGGTTCGAGACCAGCTTGGCCAACATGGTGAAACCTAGTCTCTACTAAAAACACAACAATTAGCTGGGTGTGGTGGCACGCACCTGTAATCCCAGCTACTCGGGAGGGTGAGGCAGGAGAATCGCTTGAACCTGGGAGGTGGAAGTTGCAGTGAACTGAGATCGTGCCACTGCACTCCAGCCTGGGCAACAGAGTGAGATTCTGTCTCAAAAAAATAATAAAAATAAAAAAGTCATGCTAGCTTGACCAAAAAGCTTATCAAAAACATGGGAAACGTTTGACTTCAGCGGATTTATCTGGAGTTTGCAATAAAAAAATCCAGGGAGATGTTGTCTTAATCTCTGCATCCCAGTACATTTTTACCTTTGGCATTTTAATTTTATATTATAAGCAGGCAAACAGGTGCCATAACGCTTTTATTGTTCAGGGTCTCTATAGTTCCTAATCTGGCCATGCGCTAAACATTTTGTTGTTGTAGCTTTTGTTGAGACGGAGTCTCACCCAGTCTTGAGTGCAGTGGCCTGATCTTGGCTCACCGCAACCTCCACCTTCGGGTTCAGGCGATTCTTTGCCTCAGTCTCCCGAATAGCTAGGATTACAGGCGCACACCCTCACGCCTGGCTAATTTTTGTATTTTTAGTAGAGACGGGGTTTCACCATGTTGGCCAGGCTGGTCTCGAACTCCTGACCTTAAGTGATCCGTCCACCTCGGGTTCCCAAAGTGCTGGGATTACAGGCGTGAGCCACCGCGCCTGGCCCGTGCTCTAAACATTTTCCTTCGAAGTGCACATTCATCTTTCTGTTTCCCTAATAGACTTCTTGCCCCTTAAAAGTTAAAAGGACTGGCTGGGCGCAGTCTCTCATGGCCTGTAATCCCAGCACTTGGGGAGGCCGAGGCGGGTGGATCACCTGAGGTCAGGAGTTCAAGACCAGCCTGCCCAACATGGTGAAAGCCCATCTCTACAAAAATACAAAAAGTAATCGGGCATGATGGCAGGTTCCTGTAATCCCAGCTACTTGGGAGGCTAAAGTGGGAGAATCGCTTGATCCTAGGAGAATCGCTTGATCCCAGGAGGTGGAGGTTGCAGTGAGCCAAGATTATGCCATTACACTCCATCCTGAGCTACTGATTGAGACTCCGTCTCAAAAAAAAAAAAAAAAAAACAATGGACTGAGTTTTGTCCATCTTTGTATGTGGCACCTAAAACGTGATGGTGAGTGCTGAATAATATTTATGAATGAATGAGGAGACTGAGAAAGACTACAGAGGAGAAATGAGTTTCTGTCATTAAATTTGCATTTATCAAGTCCTTATTTTCTGTCAGACACCACTCGTAAAGTGTATAACGTGTAACGTCATTCGGTTCTTAAAACAACCCCATGTTTTGGATGAAGAAATAGAGGCAGAGAAATGAAGCAGTTTACTTAAAATAATTAGCCCCACAAGGGATAGCTGAGGTTTGGAAGCCAGAGGCTATGATAGTAATCATCCTTGTCAGCTGGACCTCAAATCTATATATCCTGGGCTGAGGTTTCTGGCTTGCGGGGTTCCCCAAATCCCACTGCCTTGTCATGAGTCTCCCCAGGAATGCCTCTTTTTAGCCACAGTTTTTGCTATCCCTGCTGTATTTTGGCCTGGCTGGGAGATGAGATGTCCTGTATACCCTAGATCACATTTTCCCTTTAATCCTGTGGTTATAGCACACTTGAAAATACCACCCTTTGGGCCAGGCAAGGTGGCTCATGCCTCTAATCCCAGCAGTTTGGGAGGCCAAGGCCGGTGGATCACTTGATGTTAGGAGTTCAAGACCAGCCTGGCCAACATAGTGAAACCCTGTCTCTACCAGAGGGAAAAAAAAAAACATTCCTCAGTCATGGTGGCGGGTACCTGTAGTCCCAGCTACTCCGGAGGCTGAGGCAGGAGATTTGCTTGAACCCAGGAGGCAGAGGTTGCAGTGAGCTGAGACTGCGGCACTGCACTCCAGCCTGGGTGACACAGTGAGACTCTGTCTCAAAAAAGCAAAAAAAAAAAAACAAACCAAAAAAAAAAACAAAAAAACCAACCCTTAGAGTCAGAATCACTACATCATTTTAAGAGTTTTTTATGTGTAGCGGTGAAGGGGGCTGGGTAATATTGTGATTGTGGAAGAAAAAGCTGTGTGGTCCGATTATGTGATTAGTAACCAAAAAGTTATTTGAGAATTAAAATAGTTGGGCAAAGCATTTAGTGGATTTTGGTGTTTCCAGTATAAGGAGATTAATCTGGTTAATCATAGTGGGATTTCTGTGTATCCATATGATCAGGGGTAAATAATTTAAAAATAGGCTGTTGTCAGTCTTTCATGTGCATATAAACCACCTGAGGATTTCGTTAAAATGCAGATTCTGATTCTGTAGGCGTGGGGTATTTTAGCCCACGCAGGTGACGTCATTTTTGGTGATGTGTGAACCACACTTTGAGTAGCCAAGGGCTAAGCCCAGCCAATAGTGGAGGTGTGAAATGGTGGCCTTTTCTCCTGTGGCAGGTGCCAGTGATCCAGACAAGCCCCTCACGTTGCTGGGGGTTGGAATTATGGGGAATTTTTACCAGTTTATATCAACTATATTAGCAAAAAGAAAAGGAATGATTTTTGAGGAAATGCCCACAAGAGGTCGCTGTTAGCCTTACCAAAGATCCAGAGATTAAAGAAAATGCTTTAACATCTCAGACTTAGGGATCAGAGAGCAAATTTAAGGAAATTATCAAAGAAGTGGTAGAAAATCAAAATATGATGGTTTACTGTGGGCTTTCAGGAAGGAAAAAACATTTTAAGATTTTTTTCCACAAGCAGTATTTTTTTTTTTTTTTGAAACGGAGTCTTGCAGTGCCGTGATCTCGGCTCACGGCAACGTCCCCTCCTGGGTTCAAGCAATTCTCATGCCTCAGCCTCCCGAGTATCTGGGATTACAGTTGTGTGCCACCACGCGTGGCTAATTTTTTTGTGTTTTTTAGTAGACACGTGGTTTTGCCATGTTGGCCAGGCTGGTCCCGAACTCCTGACCTCAGGTGATCCACCCACCTTGGCCTCCCAAAGTGCTGGGATTACAGGCGTGAGCCACTGCGCCCGGCCCAGAAGTGGCATTTTTTCACCACCATCCCCCTTTTTAAAAAAAATAAAATTCGTTCCAAAACTTCACTCTTTTAAGGGAAATAGACATACGCTTAATTTTTAAAGTTCTCAACATGACCTGTAGATAATCTATGGAACTACTGAATCTGATTCTGTTGCTGCTCTCACTTTTGACAAGATACCAGCATTCTAACAGCCTCAGCTTCTTCATCTGAAAAATGGGCATAGTACCTATCTCATTGGGTTGATTAAATGAGGAAATGGAGGTAAAGGCTGGCCCAGAGCCTGGTATATAGTAAGTGCATAATAAATGAGAGCTGTTATTTGGTTGTTGCATATGAAGTCATATTTCTGTTTTGATCTAGCGTTTGCTCAGCTGTTGAATGTTAGTAATTCATTAGAATTACTAATGGTACAGAAAACACATTTGGAATTGACTTTCCTGTCCCATTAAATTTCCTGCTTTGTTAAATGAACCTTTCAACATTCTACTTTTCTTGACAACAGATAAAATTAAGAGTCATTTGAGGCTGGGCGTGGTGGCTCACACCTATAATCCCAGCACTTTGGGAGGCCAAGGTGGGCAATTCACTTGAGGTCAGGAGTTCTAGACCAGCCTGGCCAAAATGGTGAAAGCCTGTCTCTACTAAAAATACAAAAATTAGCCAGGCATGGTGACACACACCTGTAATCCCAGCCACCTGGGAGGCTGAGGCAGGAGAATTGCGTGAATCCAGGAGGTGGAGATTGCAGTGAGCCGAGATCATGCGACTGCACTCCATCCTGGGGGACGAAGCAAGACTCCATCTCAAAAAAAAAAAAAAAAAGTGATTTGAAAAGAGGAAAAGTGTGATTTGATGTTTTAAACTCCATCTTGACCGTTGATGATCCTTATTCAAATTTATCCTTTGGGGTTTTGTTTTTTAATAAATCAAGGATGGCCTGATAGCATCCTTGATGGGATGGGAGTTTAGAAGAATTTTTTTTTTTTTTTTTGAGTTGGAGTTTTGCTCTTGTTGTCCAGGCTGGAGTGCAATAGTGAGATCTCGGCTCACTGCAACCACCGCCTCCCAGGTTCAAGCGATTCTCCTGCCTCAACCTACCTAGTAGCTGGGATTACAGGCGTGTGGCACCACGCCCAGCTAATTTTGTATTTTTAGTAGAGACGGGTTTCTCCATATTGGTCAGGCTGGTCTCGAACTCCTGACCTCCGGTGATCCGCCCGCCTTGGTCTCCCAAAGTGCTGGGATTACAGGCACGAGTCACTGTGCCTGGCCATGCAAGAATATTTCATAGGTAATTTCAATTGCAATCTTTTGGAAGATGAAGTTAGTGTATATTTTGTAAATATGATCCCAGAGGGACTAGGCAAATTATTGTGAAAGGGATTGTCCCTTAAAAAAAAATAAAAGTAGAACTGGTTCATTATTGTCAACCAGCCTTTCTCCTCCTTTCCTACACTCAAAGCCAAGTTCATGTAGAAAGGATAGAAATGAAATGACATGGGAGCTCAATTCGTTTGTACTGGCTTGGGTTTCTGGGTTAATGGAGGATTTTGGGTAAAGCTGACTAGTTGCATGGCACAATTAGATCTGGGGTGCCAGTATTTCATGCAAAGGTTAATAAAGTTGAGAATCTAAATGGGAGCAGAAGGTGGCGCAGGGGGATGAATTTAAGGGACTTGGAGGCCAAGGAAAGTCCCTGTGCTCTTTGAGGTTCCTCTTTCCCTAAAGTGGGTTGGGGGAGACAAGAATTGTCCCGTGTGCCCAGGAAAGCTGATTTTCTGGGTTGTGATATTTTACAAATGAGAAGTGCACATGTCTTTTGTTAAAGAAAAATTATTGGCCGGGCGCAGTGGCTCATGCCTCTAATCCCAGCACTTTGGGAGGCCGAGACAGGTGGATCACCTGAGGTCAGGAGTTCAAGACCAGCTTGGCCAACGTGGTGAAACCCCGTTTCTAATAAAAAATACAAAAATTAGCGGGGCGTGGGGGTGTGCTTATGGTCCCAGCTACTCGGGAGGCTGAGGCAGGAGGATGGCTTAAACCTGAGATGTGGAGGTTGCAGTGAGCTGAGATCGCACCACTGCACTCCAGCCTGGGCAACAGAGCGAGACTCTGTGTCAAAAAGAAAAACAAAACAAAAGTATTATTCATGGTGCTTGTTAAAGGAGATGAGACAGGCTTATTCTGGGCTGCTGCTACAGTGGGGTTTTGCAATAGGGGACAGAGATTCGCCTCAGCTTCTAATGCAACAAGAAACAGTGGGAATTTGTAGCCAAGTAGGGGTAGAAGAAGAATTTCATCAGATATTGAGGGCGATTGGATATGGAGGGGGATTCTGGCTCAATCAACTTGACAGAATTCTTGCTAAAACTTGGTGGTGCAAAAACAAACATGGAAATCCAATAGCTAAGCACTAGCTGGGGAGAACTCAGAGGAACCTGCCCGGAGTTTGGTCAGGGAGAGACTTTGTCACTTTCCATACTGGCTGAGGTGTTCTCCTGCTTGGAGAGTCAACGGAGGAGATGAGAAAGGGGTCAAATGGGTTAACTTGTCTAAGACTTTGTGGCCCTGACGTTCTGTGACTATGGTAGCTTTTAAAATTATATGTGGATACACACATTGCATAAAAAACTTGGTTAAGTATGTGAGTTAAAACAAATTTTTAAACCATAACCTGTGAAATTAAATTCTCAGATCTTCATAATAGAGATTAAGAAATGTAAAGACAATCATTTAAAAACATTTTCTGCCTTCCCCCGCTCCTGTATTCCTCTCCTTCCGATTTTTTTTTTTTTCTTTTTAAGAGGGAGGGACTCCTTCTGTTGCCCAGGCTGGAGTGCTGTGGTGTGATCATAGCTCACTGCAGTTCTGAACTCCTGGATTCAAGCGATCCTCCCACCTCAACCTCTAGAATCGCTGGGACTACAGGCACACACCACCACACTCAGCAAATTTATGTGTTTATTTATTTATTTATTTTGTAGAGATGGGGTTTCGCCATGTTGCCCAGATCTGGTTTCAAACTCATGGGCTCAAGCAGTCCACCCATGTGTGCCTCCCAAAGTGCTGGGATTACAGGCGTGAGCCACCATGCCCGGTGGAGAGAATTTCTTAAAAGGAAACGGATACTTTATTTTCAGAGGAGCAACAATAAGACTATTATTGCAGCACAAAGATGAGCACAGAAGACACAGGGACAGTATCTTCAAAATGCTCAAAGAAGGCTAGGCGCAGTGGCTCATGCCTGTAATCCCAGCACTTTGGGAGGCTGAGGCAAGAGGATCTCTTGAGCCCAGGAGTTTAAGACCAGCCTGGGAAACATAGGAAGACGCCATGTCTCAAAAAACTCAAAAAAAAAAAAAAAAAAAAAAAAAGTAAAAGGAAAAGTTCTTTTTTATTTCTATACATTTTACTGTAAAGGTTCCAGGTGTGTTTTGTTTGTTTGCTTTTGTACTTGTCCTGCTTGGGCCACAGATGTTTCTTGAGGCTGTAGCTTGATGTCTTTCTTTGGTTTTGGAAAAGTTTTACCTATTATCTCTTCAGAGACTGTTCTTGCACACTCTCTCTCTCCTCCTCTTTGGAATTCCAGTTATATGTGTGTCAGGCCTTCTCTTCACATTCCTTGCGTCTTTGAAATTCTGCCTGTCTTCCTGTGCTTTTTCCGCTCCATGCTTCAGTCTCCCCCTTTATTTTCCAGCTCACGAATCCTTTCTCTTGTTGAACCCTCAAGAAACCAATGAAAACACCCGTGAGCTCTTCATCTCCTTTCTGCATGGCTCCTCCCTCTTGCCCTATGCAGCTTAATGGGCGAATACCTTGAGGGGAAATCTGGGCTGGATTTCTGTCTTCCTTGTGCTCTCTGCTCTTCCCCCTGGCTGTCTTGATAGCCCTGAACTCCTGTGAAGCTCTGTGAGGTTTCCTTAGAGCCCTTTTAGCTGCTCTCCTGTTTCACAGCTGCCCTCTGCTTGGCGTCAGCTTCTTGTCCCATGCTGAGAATTCACAAATGCCCTGTGCGGGAAAGCTGGGCAAAGAGTGTTAGAGTCACCTTAGTGAGTTTCCCTTTGTTCTGGTGTGTGGCATGACAAGTCCAGTATGCTGGCAACTCTTTATACCTTCGAACATACATTTTTTTTTTTTTTTTGAGACAGAGTCTCACACTGTCCCCCATGCTGGAGTGCAGTGGCATGATCTCGGCTCACTGCAACCTCTGCCTCCTGGGTTCAAGCGATTCTCCTGCCTCAGCGTCCCAAGTAGCTGGGATTACAGGCATGTGCCACTACGCCCAGCTGATTTTTTGTATTTTTAGTAGAGACGGGGTTTCACTGTGTTAGCTAGGATGGTCTCGATCTCCTGACCTCATGATTCGCCCGCCTCAGCCTCCCAAAGTACTGGAGTTATAGGCATGAGCTACCATGCCTGGCCAAACAGATTTGTGTTTTGTTTCTTGTTTGCCATGGAGTCTCGCTGTGTGGCCCAGGCTGGAGTGGAGTGCTGTGATCTCCGTTCACCATGGACCTCCACCTCCCAGGTTCAAGTGATTCTTCTGCATCAGCCTCCCAAGTAGCTGGGATTATAGGCATGCACCACCACACCCACCTAATTTTTGAATTTTTAGTATTTTTAGTAAAGATGGGGTTTTACCATGTTGGGAACTCCTGACCTCAAGTGATCCGCCCACCTAGGCTGCCCAAATTGCTGGGATTACAGGTGTGAGCCACTGTGCCTGGCCAAAAAATTTGTTTTTAAATGTAGTTTTCTTTTTGACTTTGGTGGGCATGTTGTGCTGTTTTAAACTACCTTGTCATTGAGGAGGTCTCATCAGAAGTTTTTAGTGTTTTAATTACCCCCATCCACTAATTGGCTTTGTTTTGCTGTTTACCAGGCACTCCAGGAACAGGAACTACAAAGCTGAATTTGCATCATGCCGACTGGAGGCTGTACCATTGGAGTTTGGGGACTATCACCCTCTGAAACCCATAACTGTAAGTTTTGTTAAGGGTCTTTGTGAATGATATTCTTATCCCTTGAAATGAAAGACAGTCTTCATGAGTCTTTTCCATTTTGCCAGTGGTAATCATTTTTGCATATTTGATTTTTTTTTTTTTTTTTCCAGACAGAGTCTTGCTCTGTCGCCCAGGCTGGAGTGCCGTGGTGGCTCAATGCAACCTCTGCCTCCTGGGTTTAAGCGATTCTCCTGCCTCAGCTTCCCGAGTAGCTGGGACCGTAGGCACGCGTCACCATGCCTAGCTAAGTTTTTGTATTTTTTTAGTAGAGATGGGGTTTCGCCATGTTGCCCAGGCTGGTCTTGAACTCCTGAGCTCAGACAATCTGTCCACCTCCGCCTCACCAAGTGCTAAGTGTGAGCCACCGCACCCAGCCTGATTTTTTTTTAAAATGTTTTTATTATTTATTTATTTTTGAGATGGAGTCTCACTTTGTAGCCCAGGTTGGAGTGCAGTGGTACGATCTCAGCTCACGGCAACCCCTGCCTCCCAGGTTCAAGCGATTCACCTGCCTCAGCCTCCCAAGTAGCTGGGATTACAGGCATGCGCCATCACACTTGGCTAATTTTTGTTAGTTTTTGTATTTTTAGTAGAGACGGGGTTTCGCCATGTTGGCCAGGCTGGTCTCGAACCATTGACCTCAGGTGATCCACCCGCCTTGGCCTCCCAAAGTGCTGGGATTACAGGAGTGAGCCACTGCACGTGGCCTGCATATTTAAATCAACTAGTTTGTTCACTACCTCTTTTTTGTAATATTGGCCTCACCCAGCACCATTTTTACTCCCTTGCTTCCTCCTTAGTGAGGTTGCCATGTGAATGGGATGACTTTGTTCCTGATTTGGCTGTGTCAACAAAATGTATCTTGACTTTTAATTTTTGTATTTGGAATATAAGAGTCACTGTAATTGCCAGCAGAGAGTGCTGTCCTGAATAGCATGTTAGTCTATCTGTGGGTTTATTTAAAAAATAAAATGAAAGCAGGCAAGAGGCTTGGCTGGTTCCTCTCTGCCAGGTCGGTACTGTCTTTTTAGCAAGTAATAGAAACTATGCGGTTGTCATGTTGGGGAAAAGATGTGATTGTCAGCCTGGAGGCTCTGGGAATATATGGAGACGATTGCATAAGGCAGAAGACCCCAAGACTGCGATTCAGCCTCCTGGGACCCCTCAATCCCCATGCTGTTGTGTGGCTGTGGGTGACCTCACCACAGCCACAGTTGCGTTCATTCTCGGGTGCCCGTTCCCCATGTTAAAATAAAATTCTTGGCCAGGCTTCATGCCTCATACCTGTAATTTCAGCACTTTGAGAGCCTGAAGCGGGTGGATCACCTGAGGTCAGGAGTTTGAGACCAGCCTGGCCAACATGGCAAAACTCCATCTCTACTAAAACTACAAAATTTAGCTGGGCATAGTGGCGTGTGCCTGTAGTCGCAGTTACTCAGGAGACTAAGACAGGAGAATTGCTTAAACCAGGAGGCAGAGGTTGCAGTGAGCCAAGATCGCGCCACTGCACTCTAGCCTGGGCGACAGAGAGAGACTCCATCTCAAAAAATAAAAAGAAAATTCTCAGCCAAATTAAATTTAATGGAGCTTAATTGAGCAAAAAATAATTCATGAATCGGGCAGCCTCCTGAGCCAGAGTAGGTTCAGAGAGACTCCAGCACAGTCACGTGGTAGACGAAGATTTATGGACACAAAAAGGAAAGTGACATTCAGAAAACAGAAGTGAGGTACAGAAACAGCCGGGTTGGTTACCGTTCAGCATTTGCCTTATTTGAACCCAATTTAAACACTTGTCTCCCGGCACCTTTTTTCTTTTTTTTTTGAGACGAAGTTTTACTCTTGTTGCCCAGGCTAGAGTGCAATGGCGCAATCTCAGCTTACTGCAACCTCTGCCTCCCGGGTTCAAGCGATTCTCCTGCCTCAGCCTCCTGAGTAGCTGGAACTACAGGTGCCTGCCACCCTGCCAGGCTAATTTTTTTGTCTTTTTAGTAGAGACAGGGTTTCCCTATGGTGGCCAGGCTGGTCTCAAACTCCTGACTTCAGGTGATCCGCCCGCCTCGGCCCCCCAAAGTGCTGGGATTACAGGTGTGAGCCACTGTGCCTGGCCCAGTTGGCCCCCTTTAATTGACCTAATTGGCCAAAACTTGGTGATTGGCACAAGAGTAGGTTACAGTCTGTTTACACGTCCAGTGGAGTTATAGTTCACTATGTGCAGAGAAACCTTTAGGCCAAAGTTAAAATACATAAGGAGACAGCTGTAGGCTAAACTTCATTTAACACCCATGCCATAACAGAATAGCTGCGAAGAGCTGCTGCAGCTCCAGGCCTATCCTGTTAGATTGGCAACATCGGCGGCAGGAAAATGCTTTTCTTTTTTTTTTTTTTTTTTGAGACGGAGTCTCACGCTGTTGCCCAGGCTGGAGTGCAGTGGTGCGATCTCGGCTCACTGCAAGCTCCGCCTCCCAGGTTCACGCCATTCTCCTGCCTCAGCCTCCGAGTAGCTGGGACCACAGGCGCCCGTCACCACGCCCGGCTAATTTTTTGTATTTTTAGTAGAGACGGGGTTTCACCGTGTTAGCCAGGATGGTCTTGATCTCCTGACCTCGTGATCCACCCGTCTCGGCCTCCCAAAGTGCTGGGATTACAGGCTTGAGCCACCGCGCCCGGCCAGGAAAATGCTTTTCTCGAGCAGTTTTCATTGACCCACTTTTGTTATGCGCCCTACCCTGAACATTGGTGACCTGCTGTATAGAAGAAGTTGATAGACTGGGGTAGGTCTAAGGCTCACCTTGGGAACTGAGAGCAGAGTTCACTCCACCAGGCCTGTGGAAACTGAGTATGGGGGAGATGTTTTCCCAGATAAAAATGGGGGTATTAAGTATTAGGCCTGTGAGGTGGAGGAATGTGTGCCAGAAGATAAAACCAGCAAATGTATACCAATGGGAGGTGCTTCTCTGTCTCCCCTAGACTGCAGTTCAACTCCATTCAGGCAGCCGTCACTGGCAGTTGGCATCTGACTTGACAGGTTTGAGGGCAAAGTCCTCAATGAGACAGCCCTGGCCCACTATGGTGGCTCATGCCTGTAATCCCAGCACTTTGGGATGCTAGATGGGAGAATCCCTTGGGCCCAGGAGTTTGAGACCAGCCTGGGCAACATAGTGATACCCCACCTCTACAAAAAGTAAAAAAAAAATTAGCAGAGTGTGATGGTGTGCTTGTAGTCCCAGCTACTCGGGAGACTGAGGCAGGGAGATGGCTTATGCCCAGGATGTTGAGGGTACAGTGAACTGTGATCGCACCATTGCACTCCAGGCTTAGTGACAAAGTGAGACTTTGTCTCCAAAAAAAAAAAAAGACGTCTTCACTTCAGACACTCCAACTTTGCTACACATTGGGAGTTCCCATGCCTCCCTCCTTTATGTTCAATAATTTGCTATAATGGCTCACAGAACTAGGGAAACATTTACTTATACTTACCAGTTTATTATTAAGGATATTACAAATAATACAGCCAGATGAAGAGGTACGTAGGGTGAGGCCCGGGGGAAGGGGCGCACAAAGCTTTCATGTCGCCTCCAGGTACCTCGATATGTTCTTGTTCACCTACCTGGAAGCTCTTCAGACCCCATTTTATTTATTTATTTATTTATTTATTTTAGACAGGGTCTCACTGTGTCACCCAGCTGGAGTGCAGTGGCACAATCTCAGCCCACTGCAACCTCTGCCTCCCAAAAGCCCATTTTTTGTGGGTATTTTTGGAGGCATCATTGCATAGGCATGATTGATTATTAACTCCATCTCCAGCCCTCTCACCTTCCCAAAGGATGGGGAATGGGGCTGAAAGCTCCAAGATTTTAATCATGGCTTGGTCTTTCTGGTGACCAGACCGCGTCCTGCAGCTCTGCAGGAGCCCACTGGGAGTCACCTTATTAAGGCAAAAGATGCTCCTTCACCCAGGGAATCTTCCAAGGTATTAGGAGCTCTGTGGCAGGAACTGGGGCCAGAGACCACATAAATTTAACAGCCTGGAGTGCAGTGGTGTGATCTCGGCTCACTGCAACCTCTGCCCCCTGGGCTCCTGCTATCCTCCCACTTCAGCCTTCTGAGTAGCTGGGACCGCAGGCATGTACCATCACACCTGGATTATTTTCATATCTTTTGTAGAGATAGGATTTCGCCATGTTGCCCAGGCTGGTCTCAAACTCCTGGCTTCAAGTGATCCTCCTGCCTCAGCACCCCGAAGTGTTGGGATACAGGCATGAGCCACTGCACCCAGCAGAAAACTTTTATGAGGTGTTCAAGGGAGAAAGACAAAAAAAAAGTATCTGGTTAAAGTAGAAATTCCCTACTTAGAGGTTAGTTGTCGGTTTTGATTGGCCAGTCTCTAGTTAGCAGGTAGTTGGCGATTTGCAACTGATTAAGCTTAAGTTCCATTTTACTACTTATATTGAGTTGGATTTTGGTTTGCTACATAGGGAACCCCAGGTGCTGTAGCCTTCTCAGTCCAGTGACCTCTCAATTAATTTTTTAACACTTCCTAACCCTAACTTCCTACTTTCCTTTCCTCGACAGCTGTGATCCTGGGTCATGTCCATTTGTCACAAAAAAATAAGCATCCCCTGCAGATGGATAAATCTCTGCTGTAAATGAACCATCCATTCAACTACCAGAATGGGAGGAAAGTACCCACTGGAGTGTTTCCCTGGGGAGAGTTGTGGGAGCTCCGTTTTACCTCCAGAAATTTTCCTCACAGGTCACAGAATCAAAGACGAAGAAAGTGAACCGGAAAGGAAGCACTTCTTCCACATCCTCCTCCTCCTCCAGCTCCGTGGTGGACCCGCTGAGCAGCGTCCTGGATGGGACTGACCCCCTCTCCATGTTTGCAGCCACTGCTGACCCCGTAGCCTTGGCAGCTGCCACGGTAAGCACCCCGGCCATGGTTGTCCAGTGAGGGTCAGTTTTGTGGGTACAGGAATGGGTGGTTTTCTCCTGTCCTGCCCTTTTTTTTTTCTCTAAGAGACAGAGTCTCACTCTGTCACCTGGGCTGGAGTGCAGTGGTGTGATCGTGGCTCACTGTAGCCTCCAACTCTGGGCTCAAGCAATTCTCCCAACTCACCCTCCTGAAAAGCTGGGACTACAGGTACACACTGCTATGCCTGGTTAATTTTTTATTTTGTTGTAGAGGCGGGGTCTTGCTATGTTGCCCAGGGTGGTCTCATACTCCAAGCCTCAAGTGATCCTCCCACCTGAGCCTCCTAAAGCTTCTTCCCCTTTTTTAAGTTGCACAAATAATGCACACAGTACATTCTGGTTGCAACAGTTCAGGTCATCCAGACGTGAGAGGCTGGTGTAGCTCTGGGAAGTAGGTCTTTTTCTTTCTTCTTTTTTTTGAAAGATTTTAAAGTTTATTTTTAGTTTTAAATTTCACTTAATGTTTTTTGAGATAGCCTTGGTGTGTCACCCAACCTAGAGTGCAGTGGTCCGATCTCACTGCAGCCTCTGCCTCTGGGTTCAAGCAATTCTCTCACCTCAGCCTGCCGAGTTGCTGGGACAGACATGCACCACCACACCTAACTAATTTTTGTGCTTTTTGGTAGGGACGAGGTTTCATCATGTTGGCCAGGCTGGTCTCGAACTCTTGACCTCAAGTGATCCCCCTGCCTCAGCCTCCTGAAGTGCTGGGATTACAGGTGTGAGCCACTGTGCCTGGCTCTTAAAATTTATTTTTAATTTTAATTTTATTCTTCTTATAAATCTTTTTACATAATTACATAAGTAAATCACTCATTTTGATATGAAAAAGTCAGAAGTCATGTAGAACAATCCTTCTCATGCCAATCTCCACCCTGGCGGTCGTGAGAATGGTGGCCGTAATGTGTCTTTTTCCATAGCTTTTCCCTGTATTTTCATAGATACTTCCGACAGCAGTCTCTGGGCATTCCCATGCCTACTCATATATAAATAATTATAGCATCAGCTTACTGCATGGCAGGCATTTTTTCAGAGTGCGTTTCCTATTTGGTTCTCTTACTACCTTGTGAGAGGTATTAGAATCCTCATTAAAGAGGCAGCCATGGAGGGATAGAGATATCAATTCACATCCAAGCTGGGATTCAAACCCAGCCAGTCTGACTTCAGAATACATGCTCTCAATCATCATCCTATGCTGTGTTTCATATGTTATTTACCATTGTTACATAAATGGATCTGCAGTTTTGTGACTTGTTTTTTTGGAGATAGTGTTGCCCTGTTGCCCCGGCTGGACTGCAGTGGCATGATCGTAGCTTGCTGCAACCTTAAACTCCTGGGCTCAAACAATCCCCCTGCCTCAGCCTCCCGAGCAGCTGGGACTTCAGGTGTGCACCACTGCGCTCGGCTAATTTTGGATTTCTTGGTAGAGCCAGGGTCTCGCTGTGTTGCCAAAGCTGGTCTCAAACTCCTGGGCGCAGGCAATCCTCCTGCCTTGGCCTCCCAGAGCACTGGGATTACAGGCCTGAGCCATTGCACCCCACAACTTTTTTTTTTTTAATTTAATTTTTATTTTTGTTTTTACTTTTTTTTTTCTGAGACGGAGTCTCATTCTGTTGCCCAGGCTGGAGTGCAATGGCGCGATCTTGGCTCACTGCGACCTCTGTCTCCTGGGTTCAAGTGATTCTCCTGCTTCAGCCTCCCGAGTAGCTAGGATTACAGGCATGTGCCACCACACCCGGCTAATTTTTGTATTTTTTGTAGAGACAAGGCTTCGTCACATTGGCCAGGCTGGTCTCGAACTTCTAACCTCAGGTGATCTGCCCGCATTGGCCTCCCAAAGTCCTGGCGTTACAGGTGTGAGCCATGCCACCCAGCCAACTTTTTTTTTTTTTTTTTTTTGACTTGACCATATGTCTTGGAGAACTATCCATGTTAGTACATTTAGAACAACCTTATTTTGACCAGCCTTATTGTATTCTAAAGACTGGCTTTACCTACTTTAATTTGCCATTCCTCTACTGATGTATCCATCAGATAGAGGATATCCCAGATAGTTTCTGGGTTTTGCTGATACAAACAGCAGTGCACCATGTGTCTCGAACATACACATGCCTTGGTGCATGTCTGCAGGGATTTCTGCAGGGTAGCTTCCTAGGAGTTCTTTGCTCGTTGGCCAGGCGCGGTGGCTCACACCTGTAATCCCAGCACTTTGGGAGGTCGAGGCGGGCAGATCACGAGGTCAGGAGTTCGAGACCAGTCAGACCAATGTGGTGAAACACCATCTCTGCTAAAAATACAAAAATTAGCTGGGCCTGGTGGTGGGCACCTGTAATCCCAGCTACTCAGGAGGCTGAGACAGGAGAATTGCTCGAATCCGGGAAGCGGAGGTTGCAGTGAGCCGGGGATTGCGCTACTGTACTCCAGCCTGGGCGACAGAACGAGACTCCATCTCTTTGCTGGCATAAGGCAATGTGTATTTAAGGTTTTGATGGCTATCACCAAATTGTCCTCCAAAAAGAGTTAACCAGTCTGTATTTCCACCAGTGATGTTGAAGAGGGCCTGTTTCCCTGCATTCTTGCCAGCCTGACATCAGCCAGCATTTTAACTCTTTGACATTCTGATACTTGAAAAAGTAGTCTTTTCCAACTATCCTTTCCTTAATTCTTAATGAGTTTGAGCATTTTTTGATATATTTATTGTCCATTTGTGATGAAATGGCCTGATTTTTTTTTTTTTGTTTTGTGATGGAGTCTTGCTCTGTCACTCAGACTGGAGTGCAGTGGTGCGATCTTGGCTCACTACAACCTCTGCCTCCCAGGTTCAAGTGATTCTCCTGCTTCAGCCTCCTGAGTAGCTGGGACTATAGGCATGCACCTGGTTGATTTTTGTATTTTTAGTAGAGACGGGGTTTGAAGGGAGGACAGCACGACACTGGGGGAGAAAGGTGTCACTTTGTTGGCTAGGCTGGTGTTAAACCCCTGCCCTCAAGTGATCTGTCCACCTCGGCCTCCCAAAGTGCTGGGATTACAGGCATGAGCCACCATGCCTGGCGCTGTAATTTTTTTTATGATAGTAAACCTTGAGACAGATCTCTTTTATTCCACAGTAAAGGACTATCTGCCTTCTATTTACATATGTATATATTTAAAGAATAAAATGATACTGCTGCTGAAGAGATTTTCTTGCCTTTCTTTAGGACAGCTCCAGAAGGAAACGTGATAGAGATGATAACTCCGTTGTAGGATCGGATTTTGAGCCTTGGGCCAACAAACGGGGAGAAATCCTTGCCCGGTACACCACTACCGAAAAGCTGTCTATTGTGAGTACCAGGAGACCCTCTCCCAGGGTCTGCTTCGGAGTTAGTAGTAATTTCTTTTTGTTATATTGCTTTAACTCTTGGGCTCTGTAAGTTTCACTTATTTATTTATTTTTCTACTTCTCTTAAAAGCTCAAATATAAGGCTTCACGTAGTATGTCAGTGTTGTTGGCATAAAAATGTGCTGACAGGCTTCCCAGAAAAATCTGGTAAGGATCAGGGATGTGGCACAGGTCAGAGAAAGAATTAGAACAGCAGAGTCTTGTCTTTGGGAGGAGGTTTGAATTATGAAGGAAGGAGGTCGGGCATGGTGGCTCACACCTGTAATCCCAGCACTTTGGGAGGCCAAAGTGGGCAGATCACTTGAGGTCAGGAGTTCGAGACCAGCCTGGCCAACATAGTGAAACCCCGTCTCTACTAAAAATACAAAAATTAGCCGGGCATGGTGGCGGGCACCTGTAATCCTAGCTACTCAAGCGGCTGAGGCATGAGAATTGCTTGAACCTGGGAAGTGGAGGTTGCAGTGAGCAAAGATCGCACCACTGCACTCCAGCCTTGGTGACTGTCTCACCAAGAGTGAGACCCTGTCTCAAAAAAAAATGATTAATTAATTAATTTAAAAAATGAATTATGAAGGGAGGACAGCACGACACTGGGGGAGAAAGGTGTCACTCAGTAAGTCCCACATAGCCGGGTTTTTCTCCTGGAGCTGGAAGTTTACTGTTTCTCTGGATGGCCATTAGGTGAAATAGTTAGCTTTGGCCTCAAGATGCTTATGAAATTCAAGGCTTACCTTCCACTTGGCAAACTGCTATGGAAGGAAAGACTCAGGAGAGCTGAGACTAACCCAGTCAGGGTAATGCCTGTGTGAGTTAGGACTGGGTTCAGTGCTTAGAACCAAAGCCCCTCCTAACACTGTAAACAGGGGTGATCTGTATCCCTCCTTACACTGGAGAGAAGTCTCGAGCAGAGGAGTCCAGGACTGGTGTGGCAGCTCCAAGGGCATCAGGGTTCCACTGCGTTCTTTCTTGCTCCTCGACTGCATTGAGTGTTGCCTCACATTCATGTTGGTAGACAGAGGGAGGAAAGGGAAAGAAAGATGCACCCCCTCCCATTTAGGAAGATTTCTTGGGGTCCCCCAACACTTTCAGTTACATTTGTCTTGAAGGTGTGGTCATGGGCCATTCATAAGTGCAGGGAGGCTAAGAAATGTAGCAGCGTGTCCATCTACAAATGGGACTGTGCCCCGGAGGAAGTAGTGAACTCAGCAGGCCACGGGGAACGCTTGGCCACAATGCCTCTTCTTTTTTTACCTCCCAGGGTGTGCACTCATTGAACAAAATGACAGGCAGAATTGCTGGACTATTTAAATCGAGTCTTTTTTTTTTTTTTTAAACTGTACAGAGTTAACTTAGAGCAGTGATTCTCAACCAGGAGTAATTTTTACCCCTGGGTGGTCCTTTGGCAATATCTAGAGACATTTTTGACTGTCACGGTTCTGGAGGTGGTACTGACATTTATTGGGTGGAGGCCAGAGATGCAACTAAATATCCAAGGGTGCACAGAATAATCTCCCACAAAAAGTTATCTGGCCTCAAATGGCAGTAGTGTAGAGGGTGATAAACCCTGATTCAGAGTAGGTTAAAAATACTTCTATTATGTGACTCTGCTGGCATATCAAAAATTTTAGTATTTGTCTGCTGACTTTGAGAACCCTGACTTGAGTAGAAATTTGAATCTTCAGTGGTTTTTAGTGACTGTATTTTCCTTCTTTGAATATATATTTCTTTCTCTTGGGTATGTAAATGGCTTTGTTGGAAAACAATGAACATACTGCCTTAGAATTTTAAAATATTAATGAATGTTATGTCTCTGCAGAATCTGTTTATGGGATCTGAAAAAGGTAAGATGAGTTTGTTGTTGTTTTGATGGGAAAATTCTGCCGTTACTTTTAATATCATTTTACAAAGGAAAAAGTTTATCTGATATGATTCTGATGGAGCTATTGCTTAGATTGTGGATAGACATAGAACTAAAATACATATTTAGAGCATGAATTAAAAAAATATCAAACCTCAGCACTTTGGGAGGCCAAGGTGGGTGGATCACCTGAGGTCAGGAGTTCAGTACCAGCCTGGCCAACATGGTGAAATCCCTTCTCTACTAAAAATACAAAAATTTGCTGGGTGTGGTGGCGCATGCCTGTAACTCCAGCTACTCAGGAGGCTGAAGCAGGAGAATCACTTGAACTTGGGAGGCGGAGGTTGTAGTGAGCCAAGATCGCACCATTGTACTCCAGCCTGGGTGACAGGAGCGAAATTCTGTCTAAAAAAATAATAATAATACGGCCAGGCATGGTGGCTCACCCCTGTAATCCCAGCACTTTCGGAGGCCAAGGCAGGCAGATCGCCTGAGGTCAGGAGTTTGAGACCAGCCCGGCCCACATGGTGAAACCCCGTTTCTACTAAAAATACAAAAATTTGCTGGGCGTGGTGGCACATGCCTATAATCCCAGCTGCTGAGGAGGCTGAGGCAGGAGAATCTCTTGAACCTGGGAGGTAGACATTGCAGTGAGCCGAGATTGCACTCCAACCTGGGCGACAAGAGTGAAATTCTGTATTAAAAACAAAAGTACGGCTTGGTGTGGTGGCTCATGCCTGTAATGCCAGCACTTTGGGAGGCCAAGGCAGGCAGATCACTTGAGGTCAGGAGTTCAAGACCAGCCTGGCCAACATGGTGAAACTCCGTCTCTACTAAAAATTTAAAAAAAAAAAAAAAAAATTAGCCAGGCGTGGTGACAGACGTCTGTAGTCCCAGCTACTCGGGAGGCTGAGGCAGGAAAATCGCTTGAACCTGAGAGGCGGAGGTTGCAGTGAGCTGAGATCACGCCATTGCATTCCATTCTGGGTGACAGAGCGAGACTCCGTCTCAAAAAAAAAAAAAAAAACCCAAAGAGGTTACTAGGAGTAAAACATAAGCTTACTGTTTAAAATGACAGAGGAAATAGTCTCCCCATCGTTGTGCCTCCCTCACCAACTGGGGGATTGCTTAAGAGAGCCTTTCCCTTGCCTTAAGTCTTTTCCCTTGTGCCGTAAGATATGTTGGTGAGGGGGCCACATGCTCAGTCTTATAGGCCACTGGTCCCTGAATGCAGTTCTCAGCTTCCTCTCCTAAGACACACAGTCAGAAGCTGTGGACCTGGGTATCTCAAACTGCCATGTAGCAGGATTGCCTGAGGAACTTTTATATGAATATAGATGTCTGGCCCCAACTTGCTCAATTAATCTTGTAGGATGGGACCCCAGAATTCCTATTTTGATGCTCCGAGGTGATTCTGGAGCAACTGACAGATCATGTTCTACTGGGTGCAGATGAGCACAACCGTGGTTCATTGCAGGTCTCTGATATGGCAGCTGCCACTCTTCCCACGGCTCTGCTGGATGAGACAGCACGTTAGAAATCAAGAGAGTGGGAGCAGCTTTGTTATGCACAGAATTTTTTTTTTTTTTTTTTTTTATATGGAATCTTGCTCTGTCACCCATGGTGCAGTGTAACCTCCGCCTCCTGCCTTCAAGCAATTCTCCCATCTCAGCCTTCCGAGTCACTGGGCCTGTAGGTGTGCACCAACAAGTCCAGCTAATTTTTGTATTTTTAGTAGAGACGGGGTTTCACCATGTTGGCCAGCCTGGTCTCAAGTGGTCCACCCGCCTCGGCCTCCCAAAGTGCTGGGATTACAGGTGTGAGCTACCACGCCCAGCTTGTTATGGACAGAATTTTGATCCCACACCATAAAAGGTAAATCATACCAGCCTGTACCTACCAGTTTGTAAAGATCGAATAGAGTGGTGATACCAAGTGTCTTAGTCTGTTTAGTGGTACTGTAAAGGAGTACCAGAGGCTGGCTAACTTATAAGGAAGAGAGCTTTACTTGGCTTATGGTTCCACAGGCTATATTAGAAGCATGGTGCCAGCATCTGCTGTTGGTGAGGGCCTCAGGCTGCTTCCACTCATGGTGAAAGCAAATGAGAGCCGGTGTGTGCAGAGATTGCATGGCAAGAGAAGGCAGGAGAGAGAGGGAGAAGATGCCAGGCTTTTTTTGACAGCCGATTCTCATGGGAACTAAGAATAAGAACTCACTCATTACTGCAAGGATGGCACCAAGCCATTCATGAGGGATCCTCCCCTACAACCCAGACACCTCCCACCAGGCCCCACCTCCAACACTGGGGATCACCTTTCAACATGAGACTTGGTATGAATATAGAGCAATAGAAACTCTCATATGCTGCTGGTGGGAATGTAAAATGGCACAACCACCTTGCAGAATACTTTTTCATTTTTTATTTAATTTGAAGACAGGTGCCAATGGTCCGGTTGTTTGTGCCCAACCACACTCCCCTGCCCCAATTCGTATGTTGAAATCCTAACCCTAAGATGATGGTATTAGGAGATGGGCCCTTTTCAGAGGTGATTAGGTAATGAGGGTGGAACCCTCATGAATGGGATTAGTGCCCTATAAAAGAGGCCCAAGGGTGCTCCCTCACCCCTTCCACCAAGTGAAAACACAGCAAGAAGGCATCATCTATGAACCGAACCGGAAAGCAGGCCGTCCCCAGACACCTAATCTGCTGGGACCTTGATCTTGGACCACCCAGCCTTTAGGACTGCGAGAAATACATTGCTCTTATTTGTAAGCCACCCACTTGCTGGTATTTTGTTATAGTAGCTGAAAGGGTTTAAGACAGTGGGCCAACCCTTTGATCCAGCATTCCACTACTGGGGTATCCCCAGATCAGGGGTTGGTAGACTGCATGCTGCAGGCCAAGTCTGGTCCACTGCCTGTTTGTTAAATACAGTTTTACTGGAACACAGCCCTATCAATTTGTTTACGTATTATCTATGCCTGCTCTTGTGCTACAGCAGTAGAGTTGAGTAGTTGGAGCAGACACTTTGTGACTCTCAAAACCTAAAACATTTGTCAGGCTTACAAAAAGAGTTCTGCAGCTTGACCCTGAGTCCACATTTCTTTTTTTTTTTTTTTCTCTTTCTTTCTTTTTTTTTTTTTTTTTTGAGATGGAGGTTACAGTGAGCCAAGGTCGCGCCACCGCACTCCAGCCTGGGCGACAGAGTAAGACCCTGTCTCAAAAAAAAAAAAAAAAAGAAAAAGTACTAGAGCAGAGGCCCCTTTAAGATGGGAGATGGGGAAGGATTCTGAAATAGACAGCCACAGAGGGCAGCAGTCAGCTAGATGCATTGCCCTGCCTTGTGGCTGGCCTGTGGCCTGGGGGCCTTTCCTTCATCCCTCCAGCAGTCCCTGCTGATGGCGAAATTGTGCTGACAGATGCAGGAAGGAGGCACAGCTAGTCCTGTTTGCTCGAAGAGACAGCTTTGAAGCCCTAGTGTTTCCACCCTGGGTAGACAGTGAGATGGTTGTTTTGTTAGCAGAAGAGCACAATTCTACGCTGTGAGTAAGAGCCTAAGAGGGCCTTTTGTTCATAGAAAACAATGAAATGACGGATTTTTGGCATCCTTATCTGGACCGCCTTTCTTTAGGAATAAACAGATGATACAGAGCAAAGTTTGTAAATCTCAAATGCAGCAGTTAACCTCTTCGAGGCTGGCCCACTGGGCTCCCAGGGGCAGCTTCTAAGTGGGAAAAGTTTCGATGGAACTCTGGTTACATAAGGAAGTTGCTTTGAAAATCTAGGATAGTTTTCTGTAATGGAATCGTTCCCCAGAGTCTGTATTCACGATGAAGTGTAGAGTGAAAGATGCCTCCCCTGGGGGTACTGGTGCAGGAGAAAAGCCACCTGTGTGACGTAAATTCATTCTGTTTAGGCAAAGCCGGGACTGCCACACTGGCAATGTCAGAGAAGGTTCGGACCCGGCTGGAGGAGCTGGATGACTTTGAGGAGGTGAGCAAGTCATCTGTGGGGTGCAGGGAGTGCGAGAGCTTTTCCTTCCTCCTGCCAAGTGAGATCAACCTCGGTGGCTGCTCTTTGATTAATTCCCGGGCTGCACATTGTGCTTAGTCCTCCCAAGGCAATGACTGCATCCAGGGAAGGATGCCAGCGTGCAGTTGGCCGAGCTCACGGGAAGCCTGACTGGGGCTGCTTTTCTAGAGGCCTCTTTTCTCATCGTGATGCCTGAGCAAGCCTGGGTCCCCTAGCGACAGTGTCTTATGGTAAAAACCAGCTGCAAGGCTGGGCACGGTGGCTCATGCCTATAATCCCACCACTTTGGGAGGCTGAGGCGGGAGGATCACGGGAGGTCAGGAGTTCGAGACCAGCCTGGCCAACCTGGTGAAACCCCGACTCTACTAAAAATATAAAAATCAGCTGAGCATGGTGGTGGCTGCCTGTAATCCCAGCTACTCGGGAGGATGAGGCAGGAGAATTGCTTAAACCTGGGAGGCGGAGGTTGCGGTGAGCTGAGATCACGCCACTGCATTCCAGCCTGGGCAAAAAAGCGAGACTTTGTCTAAAAAAAAAAAAAACCCAACTGCAGTCACCTCCCTGAGAAGTAGCCTTATGGAGTACAAAGACTTTGCTTTGCAACTGACGCTGCTTGGGCTGGCTGGATATGGCCCACAGGAATCTTTTAATTGGCCTACACGTACTTTGAAAAAAAAGTGAGTCTTTTGCCAACATTTAAACATTCATAAATGTAACCAACAAATACAGAATTTCTTGAAAAAACAATCTTGACTGGGCACGGTGGCTCACGCCTATAATCCCAGCACTTTAGGAGACCGAGGCAGGATCTCCTGAGGTCCGGAGTTTGAGACCAGCCTGGCCAACATGGTGAAACCCCATCGCTACTAAAAATGCAAAAATTAGCTGGGTACGGTGGTAGGCGCCTGTAATCCCAGCTACTCGGGAGGCTGAAGTAGGAGAATTGCTTGAACCCAAGAGATGGAGGTTGCAGGTTGCTCTGTCACCCAGGCTGGAGTGCAGTGGTATGATCTCAGCTCACTGCAACCTCTGCCTCCTAGGTTAAAGCAATTCTCCTGCCTCAACCTCCTGAGTAACTGGGATTACAGGCACGCACCACCGTGCCCAGCTACTTTTTGTATTTTTAGGTGAGAAAGGGTTCCACGATGTTGGCCAGGCTGATCTCGAACTCCTGACCTCAAGTGATCCACCCACCTCGGCCTCCCAGTGTACTGGGATTACAGACATGAGCCACCATGAGACATGAGCCCAGCCAACTCTTATTTCTTTAATAAAGAGTTTTTCATTTTGAATTGTAGGAAATGTACAAATAAACATTTGGTTCCAGGTCTCATCATATGTGTTCACATGACCTTCACTCCTGTGAGTTGTGTGAAGAGCCTCTTAACAACAGCCCAGGGCTAAGGAGCATCTGCTGTGCACCAGGGACCGTGCCAAGTCTTTACCTACATGGCCATTTCATCCCCGTGACAATCCCTTGCTCAGCTGCCAAGGGTTTTTGCTGTGGTTGTCTTTCTGTCCTGATTACTCTCTCCTTGGTCTAATTAACACCCCCACACTCTTCTGTACCTCTACTCCCCTTAGAGTTTGTCTCAAGTATCACTTCTCTAGGAAACCATTCCTGATCCCCCCATCACAGTTTACAGTCCATTTCTTTGTTACCATATTTCTCCCAGTCTGAGATGTACCATTGCTCTCACGTTTGACTATCTCTGAAATTGGGGTATATGTTTCTCAGTTGGTTCCCATCAGTGATCAGCATATTTTTCTTCCTTAGTAGCCCATGAAACAGTTGAGCTTTTTTCCATGGGCACCTCAGATCCAGTATATGTATCCCCATAGAATTGCGTTTTCTCCTGAGCATTTATCTCAGTTTGAGTTAATATCCATCTGTCTTCAGTATCTTAAGCTCCATTAGTGCTGAAATACCCTGTCATGTCTTATTGCTTGGGAATCTTGAGCAAAAATGTCTTTGTTTCTCGAGCATCTAGTCCTGTGTCCTGCACACAGGAGACCCACAGTTGGTTGAATGAGGTAAGTCTTGTTACCTCAATTCACAGGTGAGGCTCTGAGAGGAAAGTAGCTCACCCAGGGTCACACAGCTACTCGGTGACTGAGCTGGGAGGTGGCTTAGGTCTGACTTGCTTCCAAGGCCAGCCTGTCAACCCACAGCACTCTGTCCATCTTTGTCAGAAAACTCAAAAGAACCTCTTTGATTGCAAATCGCAAGGCAAAGCTGTCAATCCTTGTGGGGATATGAGGAAAATTTAGAGACCAAAACTCAGCCAATACCTGGTATTCTTTATAAGGGTGGTAGTCGAGCAATATTTTTCCTGCTGTGCCTTCACCTTCTGCCTTCTCCCCACAGGGTTCCCAAAAGGAGCTGTTGAACTTGACTCAGCAGGATTACGTGAACCGCATAGAGGAGCTCAACCAGTCGCTGAAGGATGCCTGGGCCTCAGACCAGAAAGTGAAGGCTCTAAAAATAGTCATCCAGGTTAGATCTAGTGATCCCCCCGCCCCCACCCAGAATTTCCTATGTAAAATTCCACTGTGGAGACTTAGAGTTTTCAGGGGCCTGCCTGCAGGGTCTTACCCTTGTTTTTTCATCCCTTTCCTTTTCATATACTTCCTGTGAAAAGCCATGATTATGAATCTGTGTTTTTTTGAGATGGCTAATCCCAGGGTCACCATGTGCAGCTGTACAGGTTGTGCACTGCACAACTCCAGGAAGCACTCTTCACTCTAGGTTACAGAATTGATGATACCCCATGTGTTGTGCAGTACATTAACCATGGTGCAACCCCTGACACATTTATGATTTGTACACACTAAAGATTGGGCAACTTTCTGTTGGGATTCCTTGACTGCATTGGCTTGGTATCTTTGGGATTAATGACGTGTGTCCCTGATAAATGAATATTTCAGACATACTATGCATACTTATGTGACAAGGAGAAGTTTACAGCATTGGGAGAGGTACATACATTGAATCTTCTTTGCTGATGAGTTTGTTAAGCCAGTGACAATTCTTGAACCACAAGAACAAGTACTATGTGGAAAACAGCTTATATTTCTTGGTCCTGAAGATCTGGCTATCTCAGCAAAATGTGCTCAGAAGCACATTTGGAAAGGAATAATTCATTAAATCATCATCTTCAGAGCAGAGTCAACAAAGGATTTCTGAACTGCCATTTTAGTTCAAAAGGACAGATCCCATTCTCATTCCATGTTATGATAATGTGACATTTGTTTTCTCACCTGTTCTTTTGAAAGACAGGAGAGTCCGGGAGTCTTCACACTGGACACTTGAAGTCTTTTAAGATGACTCCTTGTATAGTAGGGGTGATTTCTTTGGTGTTTCATGATGGGAGGCAAGCCCACGCCCATTCTCTTCAATCACTGATGTTAGTTTACAGAGTAAATAGTCCCAAAGGCCAGGCCTCTCATCCTGGGAGCCCGTGGAGACGGTTGCTTGCTGAGTGTCTCCAGTGAGAAACTATCTGAACTAGCAAGTGCTTCTTCACAATATTTGCATTGGCAGCATCTCTCCATAGATTATTGTAGTTTAGAACCGTGTCTTCTAAGAGGTTTACATCTGGGGGAGATTTGATTCATGTCTTCACAAACAAAATAATCATAAGTGTGCTTCATCAACTCCACATCTGGCTAATAGTAACGATTCTACAATACATTAAGGACTGCCTTCTTTATCCAAAACACAGAGTCAAGGCCGGGTGCAGTGACTCACATCTGTAATCCCAGCATGTTGGGAGGCTGAGGTGGGTGGATCACTTGAGCCCAGGAGTTTGAGACCAGCCTGGCCAACATGGTGAAACCCGTCTCTACTAAAAATACAAAAATTAGCCAGGCTAATTTGCTGTATAGTAAAGTTGTTCTGTGTGTGTGTGGGAGGGGTACCTGGTGGCTCCTTTACTAAGGCATATTTTACATATCATAAAGTCCACCCATTATAAGTGTATAATTCAGTGATTTTTTTACTAAATGTATAGAGTTGTGCAACTATCACACAATCTAGTTTTAAAACATTTGTATACCTCCCCAGATTCCCCCAAGCCTGTTTGTAATCAAATCCCACTGCCATACCCGACCCCAGAAAACTACAAGTCTGTTTTCTGGTTCTGTAAATCTGCCTTTCCTGGACATTTCATATACATGGGATTATTCGTAGATAATCTTTTGGATCTGGCTTCTCTCACGTAGTATAATGTGCCTTTTTAATTGATATGTAATAATTCTACATATTTATGGGGTACAAAGTGATATTTTGATACATGTATCCCGTGTGTAATGATCAAATCCAAGTAATTTAGCATATTCATCACCTCAAACATCTCTAATTTCTTTGTGTTGGGAACATTCAAAATCTTCTCCTCTAGCTATTTGAAAATGCACAATAAGCTGGGCCTGGTGGGACACACCTGTAATCCCAGTTACTTGGGAGGCTGAGGCACGAGAATTGCTTGAAAGTGGGAGGTGGAGGTTGCAGTGAGCCGAGATCGCACCACTGCACTCCAGCCTGGGTGACAGAGTGAGATTGTCTCAAAAAAAAAAAAAAAAAAAAAACAGAAAATACGCAATACATTTTGAACTATAGCCACTCTAGGTGCTATTGAACACTAGAACTTATTCCTCCTATGTAGCTGTAATTTTGTACCCATTAACCAACCTCTTTGTTCTCCCTTTGCCCTTACCCTTCCCAGCCTCTGCCTCTAGTCATCGCTGTTCTACTCTCTACTTCTATGAACTCAACTTTCATGGCTCCCACATGTGAGTGAGGACATGCAGTATTTATCTTTCTGTGCCTGTTTCACTTAACTTGATAGTTTCCAGGCTCATTCGTGTTGCTGTGAATTACAGAGTTTCATTTTTTTATGGCCAAATAATATTCCTGTGTGTGTACCACGTTTTCTTTATCCATTCATCCATTTATGTACATGTAGATTGATTTCATATCTTAGCTATTGTGAATAGCGCTGCAATAAACATGGTACTGCTGATAATTTCTTTGATATACTGATTTCTTTTTCTTTAGATGATAACCTAGTTGTGGGATTGCTACATCATATGGTAGTTCTATTTTTAGTTTTTTGAGAAATTTCCATACTGTTTTCTAGAATTGTTACACTAATTTGCATTTCCACCCACAGTGTATAAGAGTTCCCTTTTCGGCTGGGCGCGGTGGCTCACGCCTGTAATCCCAGCACTTTGGGAGGCTGAGGTGGGTGGATCACCTGAGGTCAGGAGTTCGAGACCAGCCTGGCCAACATAGTGAAACCCCATCTCTACTAGGAATACAAAAATTAGCTGGGCATGGTGGCAGGTGCCTGTAATCCCAGCTACTTGGGAGGCTGAGACAGGAGAATCACTTGAACCCAGGAGGCGGAGGTTGCAGTGAGCCAAGATTTCACCATTGCATTCCAGCATGGGCGACAAGAGCAAAACTCTGTCTCAAAAAAAAAAAAAAAAGAGTTTTCTCTGTATTCTCATCTGCATTTTTTTTTTTTTCCTTAAGAGATGAGGTTGCCCAGGCTGGAGTGCAGTGGCTGCTCACAGGCGCGATCACACTGCATTACAGCCTAGAAATCCCAGACTCAAGTGATCCTCCCACCTCAGCCTCCCAAGTAGCTGGGACTATAGGCACATACCACCATGCCCAGCCTATTTTCGTCTTTTTGATAGTAGCCATTTTCATGTGGTTTTCATTTGATGATTCCCCTGATGATGAGTGATGCTGAGCATATTTTCATATACTTCTTGGCTAATTTGTGTATCATCTTTTGAGAAATGTCTCTTCAGCTCTTTTGGCCATTTTTTAATTGGATTATTTTCTTTACTATAATATGTTTGAGGTTCATCCACATTGTATCACGTGTGGATACTTTGTTCCTTTTCACTGCTGCATCGTATTCTAATGTGTGGTTATCTTAACAAGTTGATGGGCATTTGGGTTGTTCCCACTCTCTGGCTGTTATGAATAATGCTGCTGTACGCATTTGCATACCATTGTTTGTGTGGACTTACGTTTTTATTACTGTTAGGTAAAATTTTAGGAATGGAATTGCTGGGTCATATGGTATGTTAGGATTAACTTGTTGAGAAACTGCCAAACTGTTTTCCAAATGGCTGCACCATTTATCTGAGGGTTCTAATTCCTCCATATCTTCTGACACTCGGCATTGTCCGTCTTTTTTTCTGTTTTCTTTTTGTTTGTTTGTTTGAGACAGGGTCTCTGTCACCCAGGCTGGAGTGCAGTGGTGCGATCGTAGCTCACTCCAGCCTCAAACTCTGGCCTCAAGCGATCCTCCCACCTCAGCCTCCTGAGTAGCTGGGAATACAATTGGCCACAACCATGCCCAGTTTATTTAAAAAATCTTTTTTGTAGAGACAGGGCCATGCTGTGTTGCTCAGTCTGGTCTTGAATTCCTGGCTTCAAGTGATCTTCCCATCTCAGCCTCCCAAAGCACTGGGATTACAGGCCTGAGCCATCACACCTGGCCTATCACCTCTGTTATAACCATCCTACCATCCTGGTGGGTTTGAAGTGGTACCTCATTGTGGTTTTACTTTGCATATCCCTAACAGTGATGTTGAACATCTTTGTACATGCTTATTAGCCATTTGTATATCTACAGTGAAATGTCTATTCAAGGCCTCTTCATTTAAAAGTTATATTATTTGGTTGAGTTGTAACAAATTTTTTTTCCTCAAGAGGCAGGGTCTTGCTCTGTGACTCCAGATGGAGTGTAGTGTTGCCATCACAGCTCACTATAGCCTTGACCTCCCGGGTTCAAGTGGTCCTCCCACCTCAGCCTCCCTGGTAGCTGCCACACCCAACTAATTTTTAAATTTTTTGTAGAAACAGAGGGTTTTACTTTGTTGTCCAGGCTGGTCTCAAACTCCTGTGCTCAAGCAGTCCTTTAATCTTGGCCTCCTAAAGTGCTAGGATTACAGGCATGAGCCATGCACCTGGCCAGTTGTAACAATTCTTTATATGTTTTTTATACTATTTCTTTGTCAAGTATGTGATCTCCTAGTCTGTGACTTGTCTTTTTGTTTTCATAATTGTGTCTTTGAAGTGCAGTTTTTATTGACTGACTGATTGATTGAGACAGAGTTTCGCTCTTGTTGCCCAGGCTGGAGTGCAGTGGCATGATCTCAGCTCACTGCAACCTCCGCTTCCTGTGTTCAAGTGATTCTCGTGCCTCAGCCTCTTGAGTAGCTGGGATTACAGGCGCCTGCTACCATGCCCAGCTAATTTTTGTATTTTTAGTAGAGACGGGGTTTGGCCATGTTGGCCAGGCTGGTCTTGAACTCCTGACCTCAAGTGATCCACCCGTGTTGGCCTCCCAAAGTGCTGGGATTACAGGTATGAGCCACTGTGCCCAGTCAGAAGTTTTTACTTTTAGCTTCATTCATCAATTTTCTCATTTTAGCTTATGCTTTTGTAGTTTTATCTAAGAACTCTTTGCCTAG